ACACCCGTATCTGCACTTTCGAATTCTCGAAACGCTAAGTCCGTACTTATGTCTGCAGCTGCGCGCTCGCAGTGTGCCGTGGGCGTTCTTCATCTCTTCTCACGATGATAGCGGACACGACACACTGGCATCATGCACAGCTCATCTTTATTCTTCATTGCCTCTGAGCTGGACGAGGAACTCCTCGTTGCGAGCCCGCGACTTTGGGACACAATGTCGAAAACTCTCGTGTGGTGCGTGTGCAGTCAGTGCTGTCTTGCTGATGGTGGTCAACTCTTGCAAAACAAACGGACTCAACGGAGGCACGCAGAGGTTGAGCGCAGTGAGGCACATTTTGCACAAGTCACAGCACCGGAGTCGAAAGTAGCGGCAGAAAATCAATTGTATGCACCCGTCAGCTTCTCGCAATCTCGCTTAAGCACTCCAGAATCAAATGAGTTGAGGAAGACAATGGTGGGCTACCTTTTTCAGTTCCAACGACGAATATGATACTTATAGGACATTACTGCCGCACAGTCACGAGGAAGAACTCGTTGTGGCTGTACCACAATATTACGGCGCATATACTCACATTGAAAGTGTAGTAGGTAACTCTGGAGTGCGGAATGCCGGCTGATTATTCTTCTTCTTTGCAGGGTGCACAGATTGTCGATGTGTCGGTTCGAACACGCTGCTTGCTGGAGTTACCGAAGACGCACAATTCTTGGCTGTGGACTTGGATCAATCGATGCATCAATGTCATCTATAATCCCATCCATGTCAGGCTCGTCCTCCGAATCTCTCGTGTCCGGAGTCCTGTAGCGGTGGCAAAGCTGCAGCTGTCTCGTGAGTTCTTCCGACTCTGCTACACTTATTCCAGGCTCAAAAGCATAAGGGGTTCTGCAGGGTTTGTGGATGGGAATGGGTTGAGAAACATCGAGGACCCTGCTAGAGGTAAGGCTCGTTTGGCAGTGGTTGTGGATGCACTCGAGTCCGGCTTACTTTTCTTTGCGACAGGGGCCAATCGTGGATTTCCGGTATTGGAGGGCTTAAAGGGAGCAACATTGGAGCGCGAAGGCGCGTTTACACGCGGTCTTGCCTTGCTCGTTATGCCAGCAGATGGGAGGCGTGGTCGACCAGGGATAGAAGCTATAGCAATAGGCTGATTAGTAGCGCGAATATGGCAAATACAGCTGCTTCAAATGCATATGGGACAAATAATAGCAACGTGTTTATTCATTATATCGCGGTTATGACGTGAAATTTCGCCCTTTACTTGATGTTTCCCCCACATTACCCCCAACCAAAACTTTGCCCCAAAGTGCAGTGTATCCTAACTTCACTCTGTTCTACTCTTTTAGTTGCGACTAAAACGCGCAGGACTGCCCCGTGGTGTTCTTTGATGTTGTAAGTCCTTTAAATTACTTTGAATCATTTCTAAGGGCAGGCCAGTTGTGCGCGTTTTAGATCATAGTGGCAACCGTGACCAAACCAACCACACCACACGGAAAAGTCTTTGGTAATAGTATCGACTCAAGTAATGGTCGAGTCTCATGGAGTTGTGGGATTAGTCATGGTTTTGCAGTCTCTCATTCCCGAGCTACGCTCGGTCTCCTTCTCATCCTCGCCACCATTCTCCGAAGATTACATCGATATCCCGTGTCACGATCCCAACTCTGATAATATCGTCGCTGCAGTATCATTTTCAGCTCCCCGACTTTTAAAACCCACATCCCAACCTCGTCTTCATCCAAACGGTCGTGTCCTGTAGTGACACCCGATTTCGTGCGCAAAATTATCAAATACGAGAAACCGGATGGTATCCGCCCTTGATGTCGGCATCAAACTCAAAGATGAGTTTGAGGCTCTTGGAGTACAGGTTCTTGGTACTCCCATCGAGACTATCATCACGACAGAGGATAGGCAGTCATTTGCCCAAGCGATGGAGGATATTGGGAAGCGTTGTGCTCAGTCTGCTACAGCCACCACTCCAGATGAAGCGGTTGCCGCAGGGCGTGAGATCAGATTCCCTGTCATTGTTCGTGCTGCATACGCGCTGGGTGGTCTGAGATCTGGCTTCGCACAGGATGAAGTCCAGCTTCGCGCTCTTTGTAGCAAGGCATTCGCGACTAGCCCTCAAGTGCTTGTAGAAAAGAGCATGAAAGGTTGGAAAGAGATCGAATACGAGGTTGTCCGCGATTCCCGCGACAATTGTATAACTGTCTGTAATATGGAGGTAAGTGTCGATTTTCGCTGAACGGCGTACGCATGATCTCATGGTGCCCTGCTAGAATGTTGATCCACTTGGTATCCACAATGGAGACTCCATTGTGGTCGCTCCCTCCCAAACGCTATCCGACTTCGATTACAACATGCTCCGAACAACTGCGATCAATGTCATTCGCCATCTTGGTGTTGTTGGCGAGTGTAACATTCAGTACGCTCTGAATCCGATTAGAAGGAGTACTGCATTATTGAGGTATGTTTCATCATCTTAATTGATATTCATTGCACTGACATTTAAATAGGTCAACGCGCGTCTCTCGCATTCGTCAGCACTGGCTTCGAAAGCTACAGGTTATCCCCTTGCGTTTATTGCTGCTAAGCTCGGTCTGGGTGTCCCGTTAAACGAAATCAAGAACTCCATGACGAAAGTAACCAGCGCTTGCTTCGAGCCAAGCTTAGACTACGTTGTCGTGAAGATACCACGTTAGGACCTCAATAAGTTCAACCGGGTCAGCCGGCTTCTTAGCAGCAGCATGAAGAGCGTCGGTGAGGTCATGAGAATGGGCAGAACTTTCGAAGAGACCATCCAAAAGGCGATACAGGCGATTGACGATCAGTTCCTTGGATTTGCGAAGGTATGTAAGAGCAGTCTTGGTCAATTCAGTAAGATTAATTTTCTTGTTGCATAATTGCATAAGAACAACTTTGTGGAGGACATCGACGAGGAACTGGTCAATCCCACTGACAAGCGGATATTCGCCATCGCAAATGTATTCCATCGGGGGCGATAGCGTCGACAAGATCTGGCAGATGACTAACATCGACAAGTGGTACCTAACGAAACTTCAACACATTCATCGCATGGAGAAGCGCTTGTCGTGCGTAGACTCTGCTTGATCTTCGAGGTTTTCTAACGAATGCGCTACAACCGCAGAGATCAATCTATCTCTTCTGTCAGCAACAGAATTATCCTCCAAGCGAAGCAGCTTGGCTTCTCCGATCGCTTGGTAGCCAGTTGTTTGGGTTCAACGGAGTTAGCTGTCCGAAGGCTTCGTCAAGAAATTGGTATTGATTGGAGAGGGGCAGTGGGTCCCATATTGTCGAGCGCGAGAGAGGAGATTGTGGCGCGACTTTGAGCTTGGTCCGGGGTCACGACCAGTAGTGAAGCAAAGGCGGATAGGGCATGTTGGAGCTACGAGGGGGTCGTTGCCGTCATCGTCCTCGAGGGGTTAGAAGGACGGCGAAGAATCAGACACTCAGTCATGTAGGACAGACATCTCGATGATGATGATCACATGATTTAAGCAAAATTCACGATTGATTGGCGCGTCTAAGATGGCTAGGTCAAGTTATACTTATGGACTCGAGTGATTAACTCAAACCCAGCGAGCATCATATGCCTCAAAGCAAGTCGGAGCGCCCCCAGAAACACGCAAAACCTGAGCAAACGTCGCGGAAGGCGTATAAATTTTTGAATGCAATCGATGTCAGACGTGCTCGGCCCGGGAGTCCAGAATCAAGACCAGAATCCCCAAATGGAAGGTGCGCATACTTACGATCATCAGATTCATCATTACGAAGAATTTGTTCGCTCAGTCCCGCAGCCCTATCTGCATTGCGCTCAACTCTGTCTGTCAAGTCAGAGGAAATTATTGCTCCTCAAGATGAGAGAATCGCGCTTGAGTGGATGGAGAGTTCGCCAGGTGCTCATGACACCTTTGAGATATGGGAGGGTACGAATCAAGTGCGTGTATCCTTATTTCTTTCTCTCAGTGTCCTGATGTTGTGATGTGCTAGTCGTCCAGTCTATCGCTCCTTGTGTCTCTGTTATTCTCGGATTTTACTCTACTGTCCTCTCATTTCCCATAATACCACTCACACGGCATTCTGATTATCAAAACGTTGTTATCGCCAAAATAGATGCGTAAAATCACATCTTTCGCATTTGGCTCCAATGAGCTTCAAGTCATTCTCGTTTCATTGAAACTGTTCAATACTATCTCTCACTTTGGAGGTGGGAGGGAGCGGAAGGCACTTTGTGAAGCGTTTCCATGGGACATGAAGGTGCGTTCGCCTCCTTACGATGGCTCATCATCGTTCACGATACTTCAGACTTTCGTAAATTTATCGCATGAGGAGGAAAGGGAAAGGAGACGCAGAGGACGTTTGCAAGACCTGGTATGTCTCTGAGATATCTGCTGCCTTGAACTGTCTGAATTTCGTCAACCAGATATCCACACTTAATACGTCTTTTTTATTCTCTCCTTCATTAACTCTGAAACTTCCTCGCTGGTGAAATCGACTTTCCTCGAGCAACAGAGATACTATATATTGCTGTCTATCTTCAAAGCGCTTTCTCAAGATTCGTATCTGGTCGTCCGCAAGGTCCTCGAAATGTGCTGGGTTGGGCTGTGGTCTGATCCAAAAGTGAAACGGACCGTAAGGATTGGACTGTTCACTGCAGTCACAATTGAACATGTGAGTGATATTTGACCTAGATGGCAAGTAATTGACGTTCAGAATAGCTTTTGAAATTGTACGAACGCGCCGGTGCTGAAAACGCGGATGGTGACCACATCGTGTCTAAGGAGGAAAACTACCAGCAGATCGTAAACTTTTTCAAGGTAGTGATACTTTTGGGAGTCGGAAACGAGGGATGAGCTGATGCATGCGGTGATCAGGGCAAGGACGCAGACTCTACATAGAGTCGTCACGGTTGCTTTTCATTACAGCCCTGTCACGGTAAGTTATGTTATGGTGCCATTTTCAGACGAGACTCACCATATCCTCATTAGGCATTACTCTATATATCTCAATACCATAGGCGAGCATGTATAAAAAGTTCAGGTGAGGGTTTCTTACCTTTACCTTCTGTACAATTCCGAGTCTGTCACGGTCTCTTAGTTTTCGCGCTTCACCTCTGCCTTGACATTCCTCACTTTCACCATGTCTGCGCCAGAGCCTGACAATCAGTCACGCGACCTCGTGCTCCCGGACCTCTCTGGGGCAGTCCCTACCTCCGCAGATTCAAGGGCCAAGCGCCGTATTGCTGCGTTGGAAGAAGAACTGCAGACGATGAGGCAGGACAGAGGAACGAAGCAAAGGTTCGTCACGTACCATCTTTGTGTATACTCTTCCTCATTGATCCTCGAAAGAAAGACGACGTACTACGTTGCTCAGGGCAGGGCAGTTCGCCGCATGGTTGTCCTTTACACTAACGTGGAGGATTTGATCGCCGAAAACGATCGCAGGTGCGAGCCAGGCCTGGTGAACGGCGCGGTGCAGGACACTACCCCAGAGTAAGGCATCTTTTTTAATCCGTGACATGGCTAATTACAGTATTCAGGCAAGATCGCCTGCAGCGTGGCTACCTCGCACTCTCGCAGTCTCTGCCGTGGCTGCATCTCAAGCTTGCCGATTTTGAAGTCGATGAATCTGAGGACATGTTAAAAAAGGTTTGCGCTCTTCATCGTTTCGCGCTGCATACTCATCACACTATAGATCAAAAGAGGAGCCGATGCGGCCCGCGGCGACGACACTTCCACTCTGAAGGACCTCGTTGCTGCCTGGGTCAACCAGGATTTTCGTCCGTCCACGCTACTCAGGTCCAACGACAAGCAGTTGCGCGGCTTCGCGCATGACATTTGCGGGAAGTTGCTCTGCCCCGCCGAGTGGGATTGGAGTGACGGCCGGTAAGTATCACCCTTCGTCGAATCACATGACTCTGAAATGTTTGCAGCGTGAAGGCCGGGATTCGCGAAAGAACATCCGACTACATCGTGTCGGAAAATTCGTGGCCGCTGTTCGTATACGAGAATTACGCCATCGATGATAGAAACCTGGAGAAAGGTCTTTTCAGGTCCAAACTTCTGGTTCAGGTCAGTAGATGGGGTTGTACTACATCGCGAATATATATTCAAAGTCTTGGCGTTACCAGGCCTTCAAAGCTATCTTCACATCTCCGTCTTCCACAAGGGACGCTGATGGAGATGGCGACGGAGCTGACATTCTAGAGAACAATAGGCGCGCTCGACGGTCGTCGAACGATAAAGTCAAAGTCAAAACTTGCGTCGCCGCAATCATCAACACGAGGAAAGTAACCCCTCGTTCAATTGCATATGTTGTCTGTCAGGTGAGCAAAGATGATTTCTCACCCTCGATGCGCGGCTTATAACCTTTGTCTGACAGGTTCGTTTCGCGCTGTCTAGCGTCTCGTCTTGGCGTACCGTCGACGGCGACTTCGATTACGCGGGATTCTGGAATAACATCGTCTACTTCTTCGAGGACGTCCCTGGCCCTGTCGCAAAACATAGGGTAGCCAAGCTTTTGGAGTGGTGGACGAGGTATTGACTGTTTTATTGCTTGCTATGCATCATGTATCTAACATACTGTTCAGAAAGATTTTCGGCAAAAATCATCGCCAGGACCTAACTCCGGAAGTCGTGTCCAAGATGTCCGTCACAGCGCTAGCTGAGCAGAGAAAGGCGCTAGAGGACGCCGCTTATGACTCGGAGTAGCTAGATTTTTGTTTTGTCGTATATACGTGTTTCAATAATTGCTTGAATGTAATCCTTATGTCGCATTCACTCTTAAATACTGAGATTGGCAATCGAAATGATTCATTTCAGAGTAGTGATGTGCATGGCCCGGCTTCAAGCCGTGGGCCGGCCCAAGCCAGGCCTGATTAGGCCAAGCCAAGCCAGGCCAAACTCACGGCCTGAACATGGCCCAGGGCTCGGCTTTGGGTTTTGGAAAGCCCAAGCCTGCGGCTCGAGCCGCGGCTCTTTGTATGATCAATCATGATCGATCTGTCAGGTACGAATCCATTTGCGTTGCCACTCTTCTACGACTCTAATAGATGCTTAAATCAGGAACTCTCAGCCGATGTCAGGCATGTCACTCGTTTGTCTCGTTTTGGGTCGCACTCGCCCATAATCGACTAGGCCGAATCATCCTGCTCATTCTCGGATGGATCGGATTCCAACGAAGTGACAATTTTGATCGAGATAAAAGGTAAGTACTAGTAGTCTTCGCTCCAAATAATCTAATGGTTGGAATGGTCCATACAGACAGTGACGACGAGCCGCGTATAGTGCGTCCAGTGCGCAAAGTCAAACCGACTGCTGCGCTCCTGGAGCACTCTGAACAGGCTGCACTCCCCTCTCAAACCCTGGCTATCAATGCCTTCCGTGCTGCACAGGCCGCCAAACGTGTTGCCAATGACACCCAGCCCACTGTCCCACAACAAATACCAGCACCCAGCCTGCCCACTCCTGAAGCCACGCTTCCTGCCCCTGCACCTGCAAACAAAAGAGCTCGTCTTGAGGAGATCGAGGAAGATGAAGAATCCAGCGATAAGGAGCGTGAAAATGCGCGGGCGAATCCAAAACGTGAGTTTTCATCTGTCATTCACATTTCCGTTTCTCACCTGACACTATTAGCCAAACGAGCCCGTCGCCAGAAACCTGCTCAAGATAAAGAAGAGGTTGACGAGGATGGTGTTCTTGTGGACATCAACGTGCAGCCCATCACCGACGAATCTGGTCCCACACGCGAAGATAAGACTCGCGACATTGACGAGTTCTTTGGTAAACCATTCGAGCACACTGGTACCAATGGCACGGTGAAAAAACACCGCAAGTGCAAGGTCTGTCCGTACGTGTGTTCCATTTCCATGTATTTAATTTTATTAATGCTACATATCAACTACTAGGGACCACTGTATCATCGTAAACGAAACGTCGACACTGCGCCGTCACTCTGAAGCTAGATTTGCTGTAAGTTTTCATATTTTTGTTCAGGCGAACATATAAATTTAACATGAATCCACTGGCACATAGGGCAAATATCGGAAATGGGCAAAGGCCAACGCCTTCGTATCTAAATTGCCGGGTGACGTCGCAGCTGAGAAAAAGAAAGCAGCGCAGGCGCAGCAAGCGATCGATGCGCATATGACTGAGCGCAAGTTATCAGAGCGTGTTATTCCATACAGCGACCAGCTTTTTAGAAAAGCTGCAATTGAGTGGCTCGTTGCCACGGATCAGGTAAGTCTCTGAGTTGTTTGTATCATCTGGCTGCATACTAATGAAAATCAGCCCATACAGGCTCTCGAGCATCCAAAATTCAAGGACATGGTAGATGTGGCCTCGCGTGCTACTCGAGGCGTCAAAATTCCTGGTCGAAAAGCAACCCGCGCTGAGATCATCCGCATGTTCAAGAACCACATGACCACGCTCAAGAAGAAATTGAATGTACGTACCATCCTTTGCAGTTTCTATTCATTCCTGACAATATTCTAGAGTCAATCTGTCAGTGGCGCGATCAATGTTACATGTGACGCGTGGCAGGCTGACAACACAGATGGGTATTTTGCCGTCACCGGCCACTGGATCGAGGAGAACAATCCGATGCAGTGGGAACCTGGGAACGCGTTACTTGGCTTTACGAGGCTCAATAACGCACACAATGGCCAGCGTCTAGGTGGCACATTATTCAAGGTGCTCGATCGGATTGGTGTTGCACACAAGGTTTGCATAGTATTATCTCCTCATGATTGCTACCTTGCTTATATTTCCACCTGCTAGATTGGCCATGTTACATGTGACAACGCCGCCAACAACAACACGATGCTGGAAGAGTTCTCGCGATTGTACGAGGCGAAGTACAACAAGAAATTTCCATGGCGTGAACGCAAGATAAAGTAAGAAGTCTTCATGATTTTTTTGCTGCGTACTAACAATTTCAACAGCTGTCTAGCGCACATCATCAACCTTGGCACACAAAAGCTAATAAGTATGTATAGCCAAGCGCCCCACTACAATCCACACGATCCGCATGGCCACGATCCGGATATGTCTCAGAAGGTTGAGCGTGACGAGATCGGCCTCGTTCGCAGCATCTGCATCAAAGAACGTTCCTCGGCCAAACGGAAAGAGTTGTACAGGACTATCCAGACGAAAGCAGGTGTGTCTTTGCCGACACAACTGCTGATTGACATGAAGGTTCGATGGTCTTCAACCTATGTTATGCTTAATCGTGCCGAACACAACAAGAAGGTGCGCATTTGATCTTGTTGTACCCTATTGTTCTCACTCTTACTTAGTATGTTGACACGTTTGTGTACGAAATGGGCCGCCAAGAACCCAATCTAACCAAACGAGCGAAAATCGACTTTTTGCAATTGTCACCCGCTGAATGGTCACGACTTGGTCATTTCGCAGACCTTCTTTCATACGCCGACGTTGCTCAACAAGCCTTCTCGTCGGATCGAGGTTCAACTCTCCATCTCGCAATTCCTGCGCTGGAGACACTTTACAAATCTTGGTCTTCGCGAGCAGAAAGGCCCAAGTATGCTCGGTTCGCTGATTCACTGAAGGCCGCCGCAGCAAAAATAGATGAATACTACGAGAAGACTACAGATTGCCCAGCCTACGTTATCGCTATGTGTTCGTTCTCTTCTGTTTAAGCTAGCTGAGTTTGACGGTGTGCCGTTGTAGTACTTGATCCGACGTCAAAACTGGCATACTTCAAAAAGCACTGGCCATCCCACTTGCTCGATGATGTGCTTGCTTGTGCTGAGAATGTGTTCAAAGCACACTTTTACAAGCTTAATCAAACTCTGTCGTCGTCGCAGCCTACAACCACGAAAAGCAAGGCCGCTGGCCTCAAAAAACTTATTCGAGAGGTTCAAAGTGACTCCGATAACGATTCTGAGGCAGACCCAGGTGCCACGTCCATTGGCGACCCAGCAACACCATGGAGGGCCGAGTTCGCGAGCTATATCGAAACTATCGAGGCAGCTCCCTCAGCAGGTATGAGTACTATCCAGTGGTGGGGTGTAAGTGACTTTCATTTCCTCTGACTCGAGGCTGATCACTGTGTCCATTTAGATTAATGCCTTGAGGTATCCTGTGTGGGCTTCGCTGGCAAGAGACTTTCTATCCATTATGGTAGCGTCTGTCTCGAGCGAGCGAGCTTTCTCGCAAGGAGGGATCACGATCAGCAAGCGGCGTAATCGGCTGAAAGGAGATATCGTTGAGGCTCTACAATGTGTTAAGTGCTCCCTTCGTCATGAACTTATATTCCGCGAGGCCGGTCCTTCATCTCTTGTGGAGGAAGAAGCTGATGATTCTGAAAATGAGGCTGAGGCTGGTGAGCACGAAGTATCCAAAGACGAACCAGCAGATGACGAGGGGTGGGATGTGCTGATCTTGGAGGATGATGATGACGACAATATGTCAGAGTTTGATTCATTAGGTGACGAATAAGCGCTGTACAATTGTTGATATATTATAGACCATTTTTCAAGATATTTCAATGTTCAAAGCCGTGAACAAGCCCAAGCCAAGCCGCGGCTTAGGCCTGGCTTTGGCTCGTGGCCCGGCCTGAGGTTTTTCAAAGCCCAAGCCTCCCCAAGCCAGGCCTAAGCCGCGGCTTTCAGGCCGAGCCGGGCCCGCACAACACTATTTCAGAGATGATTGTGAATAGTGACTACTCCTCGGCATGCCATCTAACGTAAATTTTATTGCACCTTCTAATCTACCAAGTAACAGGTACACTTTGTATTGTAAACTGCTGTATTTGTGGGCGCTATAATCAATACTATCTTGTCTGCGGGCGGCATCTGTCGTGGAAAGTTGGCCGAGCCGAATGCCCCTCATGTGGAAGAAGTCGTCCAGTCTCAAAGATGAGAGGCGCACTTGGTATATTAAATTACCCCCGAGCAGATTCCGGACAAAGGTCAATCATTTACTGAATTAAATACTAAACGCACCTCACGATCTCCCCGCAGTTTCGCCAACCCATTCTTCAATCTCCAAACGGTGAACTGTTCTGCCCCCCCTCGTTTCTTATGTCCATTGTGCCGGTAGGGAGGAGGAGTAATTGTTGTTACCATTATCTGTGATTGCCGAGGCTGATAAGAATATAACAACTTGCTCTGCAAAGGCAATACTAGAACCGCGCACCTTCGTCTTGAATTCTGGCAGGTTTTCTGGCAGAATATTTTTCCGGTCGTGTTTAGAACTGGCACTAATTTCGCGATCTCGGGCTTTGGTTTTCAGATCTGTCCTGTTTTTGAAACAGGCTGGACTTGAATGTATTGTACGAAGTATGTATCGATTTCGGGCTTGTACGAAGTCAGTGTCGATGTCAGGACGGCGCATTACATCTATTGTCAGAATGAAGTGGCCAATCATCTAATATATTCGTCGTGTCTCATTTCTGTTATAGGCTTTGTCGTTGCTCCCGCATAACACGAGGCACTCATATGTTCTAATCAAATATTTTTGTCAGTGAATGTCCTATCGGGTGATATGGTTTTTCATCTGCTAATACCTACCCTTTTGATACAGTGTGAAGATTGTGTTTGTTATGCAGGATAATGGAATTTGGTAGTGCGTAGTAGAGGACTGAGCGGCACTACAATATTTCGTTCAATTCGGCAGTCTGGCAAGATCCTGACCGTTATGGCATTCAGGACATTGAAGAACATAATCCGAACTAGCCGCAGGACTCGATGTGATCCATGTAATGGATAGCTCAGTCAGCCTAGGCAAGCGTCTCCCACATAGGAAATGAGTGTCCAATGTTCATTATTTTACTGACTATCGCGTGACACAAGAACCCTCGCACCTGTGGTAGGTGTCAACTTTTGCGCTCGAACTGATACTGATGGCCCCAGATTTCACTGAGTGGGCGTGGGTGACATCTTGCTTTCACAGGATAATTCAAGTAGAAGGCGGTATGACGAGCACAGGACAACTTGGTTGGCCACCATGTACATACATCGTTACTATGTAAGGTCAAATATGTATGTGTAATACCCACCGCCATATTTATGGCGATTGTTGTGATGGTCATGAATATATAGTCAAATATGATATTTTAATATGTTCATCTGTTTACTGATGACACGACGGGCTCCCATTTTAGGGATCGCCCAAGCTCTCATCGAGAGATTCATAGCTGCCGTCATGATGCCTCCCCGTGGTGACTCGCAGCAAGGCTACCACAAACAAAAACACAACAAATTTCCATCTCGTAATGCACCTCGAGCTCATTGCGATGTTCCTCCATTTTCTTCAACATTGCACCTGTCTTCAAGTCCCGCAAGCGAAGTGTCCATTTAAGGCGAGGTGGACTTGGCAGCAGGAATTGTGAGTCTCTTCCAGAACTTCCTCAAACTTCCTGCAGAGGTGCGTGCACTGTTGACCGGGACGCAGACGACTCTGATGTCACTGGGATTATTTGTTTGCCTGACATAGTCTCAGCGGACCCTATGGCTTATTCGGCGTCGTTTGTGGAGTGCGATTGGACTGAACAGGACAGCTGGTCTGGGTGGCTTGGTCGGGTTTGCGATACAAACCTCGTTGGCTGGCTACATCGCTAAAGGTATTTCCCTCTATGGAAAATGGTTGTCGAGGATGCGAGGACAGCCTTTGGCATTGCATTTAATTCAGATGCTTCTCTTTTCCTTTTCTTGATCAAGGCAGGTTGAATTTTTCATGCGTACTCCATGCTTCACTACAGGTTTCAGCATTGCTCAATGCAAATGTACACAAATAGACGATGCTGTGTGTTGAACAACTGGCTGCTGGTATCAATGCCGATCCCCTCGTTTGTCGTGCTGTAGAGGTGAATTCATAGTGAGTATCTGAGCTTACTCACTTATGTCAAAGCGAGTTGCAATGACAGTTGACAACTTGAGGGATGGAGTTTGACCCTCCATTTTGGTGGGCACCGCTACTTGACCGCTACAGAAATGCAGTCCTATAAGTTAGGCGCATCCCGAATCAGACTGGCAAGCACATCTCATCGAATAACTTCATGAATGAATGACGCCGAAAGCCACGTTGTGAGACGTACGATCCGCCGAGGACGATGTTAGCTCCGTCAACCCTCAAGAACATGACAAACAAACGTAGCCGCCTCAAAAATATTCGAGCCTAATTAAGGAGGGAAATTTTGAAACCAGGGCAGCAAATGGAAACCACAGACGCATAAGTCATACAACGTAAACACAGGGAGAATCAGAGCAAGATATATTGTTATGAGGATGGGGGCACGAAGTCAGAATGAAACCATGCAGAACGTCCCGAATTCCCTTCCAGCCTCAGTTTTGATTAATACCAGAAGTGGGGGGAACCTCATAGTCGTCGCATGTCACTTCAGAGAAGCGAAGTTTCGTACCGACTTTAGGGTTGCCGTACTAATGGACAAAAAACATCTTTAGCGAAAACAAAACCCTTTGAAAAGCAGTAGAACTTACGCTTGAAACTGAGGGCGTGTCGGTTGGGCAAGTGAATTTCAACGCAGTGTTAATGGGACCACCACGCAGTTGAAGAGCGCATTCACCGCCGGCACAAGTCGGGATACCATTGAATTTCCCGGCTTCGTTGCCATTGGGGGTGAACATCGAGTGGCCACCAAAGGCGTTATTGATCCACCCTTTCGTTCCCAGTACATCGTCGTACAATCCATGCTGATCTTGGAGGGAGAAGGACTGGCCCATCTCAACCTCCTCTCCACTGGAGCAATCAGTGGGCGATTTGCAGACTTTGAAGGGGATATCATCGAAGAGGCCGTTTTTGACGTAGTCAGGTTTGTCCCGGTTGAGGCCGAGTTGTTGCCCATCGGAGAAGGAAAGGATGTAGCAGTGACCGTATTTGATGCCTAGGTATTTGCCGTGCCCACAGACTGGATTATTCGTGCACGTGCAAGAGGGTTCGACACCGCCGTGTCCATTACCACATGTCTGAGGGTAGGGATTTACGGATGAGACCGTTGGGACGCACTGGCTGCCGACCAAGTGTGTCCCAACCGGGCACTGCTGAGAAGGGGCAGTAGGAGTGTCTGTGACACACCTCCCATTGTTCATGTGATGACCAACCGGGCAGCACCCTCCGGGCTCAGAGCGGCTTCCGCTATCAGGCGTCCATACGTGATCCTTGCCGCAGCACTGTCCCAAAGTGTTGATAAGCATGATTGATTGGAACACAGATGGAAAGCATACCTTGCCTATCTGTGCAGGCTTGTCAATCCATGTGAGAACATTCGTGTCATCTGGACAACACCCCTTCTCTTTGGTGTTCTGCTCAGCTACTCTCAGTGTCAGTCCCGCAAATGTGTGTACGGCCTTACCGGATCAATAAACTCAACGCCGTGGCAGATTTCTTGGACGGCTGTCCGACGGCACTTTTTTATACCATTGCTGTCGTAAACTTCTTCCCAACCATCAGGGGACATGCCTGATGATACACATCAATTGAGCGTACTTGTGAAGGTGTATTTGACCGCAGCAAAATGTACTCACCTGCTTGCTTGGCGCGTTCTCCGCAGGTCAAAGATGCATGCAACACTGCCTGTTGAGAAAACACGACATAGGCTTGTGAGAGAGCTAAGGCAGCTATAAAAAAGAGGCGCATCGTTGTGGATGAGACACCAGGGAGTTGCAAAGTATCCTTTTATACTTTGCTAGCGCTCCATCCCCTGTAAAGGAGAACTGATGATTGGCATCGGAGTTCAAGACAATGATGGCACACAGCATAGAAGAAACCAGTTCCCCCGGTTTGTCTGATAAGTTCTTATTGTGGAAGAAATAAGCCCTGTGTAAGTCAGGACTACTCGTATGGCAATAGTCGTAATATCTCAAGCAAGTTCTTTCTAAATCGACGAATCAGCGACGAATACTGGAAGGAAACCCACCTTACTTGCGCACCCGCGTCAATTTTTTTGCTCATTGTGACAATAAAACGAATGTCCAATCCGTCATTAAATTTTACCATGGATGGAAATCAGCCGGGTCAGTTAGAAGCAATACCCGGGGCACTGGAGTGGAATGAGAACAAAACCTTACCTGGCAGCAAGATATACATATCTGACACGAGGCCAGTCCAGAATCATGTACTGATGGCTGGCTCGGATCGAGTGACCAATATACATGCATCAATCGAGATTGTACCACCTGCAATCACAACGTCAAGTGACAATATTATGTCTGTCAGCGCCATTCGAATGACGGTAAGAAGTGGACTTACTTCTAACGCTCGTGGAACATAATGATCCAACGGATGGCCAAGAAAGATCGCGGTGACAATGCGCAGATCAAACTGCGCCGGTGATATTTCCACAACGAGCGGAATTAATTTACAATCGATGAAGCGCTCTACGTTTTCTCAAAAGTCGCGTGAACCGATTTGAAATCAAAAATCGGAGATTCGGAGGAGCATACACCATCACGTGGGCGTTGAGATGGTTCCCAATCATCATGTCAACAGTCTTGGAGAGCTTGGAATTTGGCTAGAACATGTCAGGGATATCTAAGTTCAGGCCCCAAAAACCACTTAACTCAAAAATCTGCGGAGAGGGATCATCATTGACGAGGATGCTGGCAGAATGGCTGGATCGGTTCCTCGGAGACCAATCAAACAAGCGCCTTAGCCTACAGAGGGTGTGCGCCGCGGCATTGATATGAAAACTTCAGGTACTTTCAGTGCCTCCTAGACTATCTCGGCCGTGACTCGCTGCCGATCTAAAGGTTGAATCAGTCAAGATTCTGCTTGTCGAGTGACGTGACCTTTGAAACTTGTTGAGTAGTACTAGTACAAGGATGCTGGTAAAGTTCGCTGCAAGCGCCAACAAAGCGCCAGCGTCAAAGACATCCAGGCCTTGATCTTGATGGCGGGCTTCTGCGAGACCGTGAGAATGACATAAGTTGTTGATACTCATCCGATGATGATCGACGTCAGGAACCAATTTCGGCTCGTTCTGTTTTTGAAAACATTCACACGAAAAGGCAAAATTATACACTCAAAGCCATGGCCTGAGCTGTCGGCTCCTGGTTTTTGAGAATCCTAGGCCAGGCCAAAGTTTTGCTCAGACCATGGCGCATGGCTTGAGACCAGGCGGTGCAAATCACTCATAAGTTACGTCGGACGGTAAGCGCCATGTAACAACCATATCACATAGCGTTTACTCACTGTATGTTATATTCTATATATGGAGTCCCAGTCAGACTCAGTGACTCAGTTTCCGCCCCTCTATGTAGCCTGTCTCAAAAGACGCCCAAAGTTAGTAGCTTGGCATGTACTGTAGATCTGTGTGCACTTGTTATTCTAGGACATTCGAGTCTCCCGGTGATATTTCTGAATCGAACTCTGGGTTTCTGTCACGGTCATGGTCACTCTACGTAGTCCACGGCCATTCTACCTATAACACGGTCTCTTTACAGTATCAACATTGCGCCGATGTACTCCGTTCCGCGCGGAACAGCTCGTTTGGATAATCACGGACTCCTTATCTCACTGACGCGTTTACTGCGCCCAGTTTCATTCCTATGTTTCACATTACATTATCACGCTCTACATACTTATATGTGGCTCGGAGCTTTGTACCTGTCCCTTCGTCGAACCAACGCCAGTTCCTGGCTCTCTCCTTCTGCTCAGCTCCTCGCTTGTTTCTCCCGCTTGAAGAGCGCCCGTTACAGTTTGGTTCGACCACAAACCCGCCAAACTCAACTCTCGAAACTTGTATATTTCATTAATCTACTCTACCGTTGCCTCGAGGCATTACACTACTAACATGTCAGACTTCGACAGCACAACTCCAGGCATGGAGAACCCGCACCCATCCCAGTCCACATTCGTCCCGACCCTGGAGAACTTCAACGAAGTTCTCCAGGCCATCACCGCCCTTGGACAGAGCTCGTTCCGTCTAGACGAGAACCAGCGTACCATAGGGCGCGCTCTGGAAGACATTACTGATAAGATAGCTGCACTTAGGTTCCCCACCTTGCCCACAAGTGCCATGGGGCACCAGGGCCCTTTAGATTCAGTCGCCCCACGAGGTGTTGCAAAGTTCCGGGAACCACGCCTTTTCAAGGGCAGTGCAACCGAAGTTGACGCCTTCGTCGACGAGATCCTCAGTGCCGTCGAACTCTCACGTTCGTCCTTGCCTACTGACATGGACAGAGCCCTCTACCTCTCCACCTACCTGGACAATGGGTCACCTCGTTCGTGGTTCACAGCAATTCGTCGGACCAACGACGACCTACTCCACGACTTCGACTTGCTGATTGAAGACTTCAAGCAACACTTCGGAGACCCCGACACCGAGGGCACCGCCCTCCGCAAGATAGAAAACCTCCGGCAGACCGGGAGCTGCGCAAATTACGCGTCCAAGTTCCGCGAGCTGCTCGTCTACGTGAACTTCAACACGTCGACCACGATCCAGAAGTATTATGAAGGACTGAAGGATGGAGTGAAGGACCTCTTACTGACCGTTCACAGTCCTCCCACGAACTTCGACGAATATGTCGACCTCACAGTCACCATCGACAACCGACTTCATCGTCGGGAGGTTGAGCGCAAGACTGCCAAAAAGCCTGCACCCCGTCAGCAAACCGGTACTGACACCACTCAGCGCAATGCCCAGCCCAAACCATCTGCCTCGACGTCACTCTCCCCAGGAATCCCGATGGAGATTGATGCCACCAGGACAGTACCACGCCAGCCTCTCACCAAGGAGGAGCGTGATCGCCGCTTTGCTGAGGGCCTCTGCTTGTACTGCGGAGGTACCGAGCACACTGTCAAGACCTGCCCGAACATGTCCGAGCGTGCAAAGAAGAAATTCAATGCGCGCAACGACTCGGGAAAAGCCTAACCGGCTGTCACCCCGTCCCAGGGCATCCGGTCATAGACGACGGGACACGTCAGAGCCATCCTAGGGCGCCGGATCCCACTCATACCCGTCTGTCAGATGGGAGTTATACCCCGGTTGTGAAGTCTGCTCCCGCCTACGTCTTCTCTTCTAATTCTTACTTGAACTCACCCCTACATTTCTTCATCTCTGTTCGCCTCTCTTTCCCAAACAAAAAACCTATCAACACGTTCGCACTTGTCGATTGTGGTGCCACCACTTCCTGCATCTCTGACCGTTTTGCTGCTCGCCACTCCCTTACTCGCCGTGTCAAAGACACTCCCATACCTATTATGGCGGTTGACGACCGTCCGATCGCATCTGGGTTGATCACCCATGATGTCATTACTCATCTCTCCGTCTCCAATCATCACGAGACTCGATCCCTCGCGGTCGTGTCTGTAGCTTACCCCATTATTCTAGGTCTCGACTGGCTTCGCCAGCATAACCCGCACATCGACTGGGAGGACTCCACTCTCTCACTCGAGTGTTGCGAACTCACCCGCTCGAACCCTGTGGTAGTTTCGGCGAAAGGCTTTGGTCTTAAGCCGAAGCTGCTACCATCCAAACTCAACGCCTCAGCAGTCGTTGGAATTGGCTTTGGTCTCTCTGATGCTGCATCACACTCTGCCAGTAAACTCTCGCCCGCAGCAGCAGTGGGTGTGGACCCACCTGCTCCAGACTCAGAGCCCGCGAAACCTCGCCCAACACCCTCGTTCCTTGCTTCCCTCATGTCCTGGGGCGGCTATGGTCGTCCCAATCCACTCACTCCCCCATCAGCAGCCTCTGCAGCGCCAAACATCCGTTTCATCTCTGCGAAGAAATTCGCAAAGACCGCACGTTCCAATCCGGATGAATCGTGCTTGCTGCGCTACCACTCTCCATCCTCTCCAGCCTTCATCCGCTCCACCACTTCGAGCTCCATTGACTCGATTGATGACGAGATTCCCGTACCCCCTCACATTGACATTGACAACATCCCTCCCAAGTACCTGGATTACATGTCAACCGTATTCTCACCTGCCGAGTTTGAGAGACTCCCGCCACACCGTCCGTATGATGTCGACATCGAACTGGAGGAAGGGAAGACACCACCATTTGGCCCCCTCTATCGTCTTACACCACCGGAACGCGAAGCCCTAACAGAATATGTCAACAAAAATCTCAAACGCGGCCATGTTCGGAGCTCAACCTCCTCAGCTGGCGCTCCAGTCTTATTCATCCGCAAGAAGACTGGAGAGCTCCGCCTCTGCGTCGACTACCGTGGCCTCAACGCCATCACCAAAAAGAACCGATACCCGGTACCTTTAGTTCATGATCTCCTTGATCGTGTACAAGGTTGCAAAGTATTCTCTGTCATCGACCTGAAGTCGGCTTATAGTCACCTCCGCATAAAGGAGGGCGACGAGTGGAAAACAGCGTTTAGGACACCACTCGGCCTTTTCGAACATCTCATTGTACCATATGGTCTCACTAACGCACCCGCAGCCTTTCAAGCCTTTATTCAGGATACCCTTCGGGATTTACTCGATATCGTTTGCGTCGTCTACTTGGACGATATACTAATATTCTCTCGAACACAGGAAGACCACGACAAGCACGTCAAACTCGTACTCGACCGACTACGCGATGCTCACCTTTGTGCTAATCCCGCAAAGTGTGAGTGGGACAAGTCCGAAGTCGAGTACCTAGGCTACATCATTGGTGCTGACGGTATCAAGATGAACCCTAAAAAACTCGACACCATTGTGTCGTGGCCTGAGCCCACTTCTGTCAAAGAGGTTCAGTCCTTCCTGGGTCTCGCTAACTTTTATCGACGTTTTATTAATGGTTACTCCCGCATCGCTCGTCCACTCACTGACATGACCAGAAAAGATATTAGTTTCAATTTCTCAGATGCTGCTCGTACGGCTTTCAACAGCCTCAAGCGAGAATTCACCTCATTCCCTACCCTCCGGCACTTCGACCCTCTGAAACCCTGCACCGTCTCCACTGATGCGTCGGACTTTGCTATATCGGGTGTTTTCCAACAGCCCGACGACAACGGCACACTCCATCCCGTCGCATTCTACTCACGGAAGATGTCCCCAGCAGAAATCAACTACGAGATTCATGACAAGGAGCTGCTCGCTGTCATCGATACGTTTCGTGACATGCGAGCCTGGCTCCTTGGCTCCCCACACCCAATCTCAGTAATCTCCGACCACAGAAACCTCACTTACTTCATGTCGTCCCAAGTTCTCAACCGTCGTCAGGCACGCTGGGCCATGTTCTTATCCGATTTCGACTTTCGTCTCGTTTGGGCGCCCGGGAAGGCAAACGTCGCTGATGCGCCTTCCCGGCGTGCCGATTTCTCACCCAAGAAGGGGGATGAAACCCTCCTGAACCAAAACCGTATCGTGCTAACCCCAAAACACACAGACTCACTCACACCCCACACGAACACCCAACACCCACCCAACATCATCAACGCCATGACGACCCTTTCCATCGACAACTCCGCACTCTTCGATCAATTCAAAAATGCCCTTCAAAAGGACTCCGAGTGGCGAGAAGCGCTCATCCGTGGTAATTCAGACTTCACGTCTGAAGGTGGCCTTGTGTTCCACAAGGGAAAACTATTTGTACCCTTACCATTACGCGCTGACATCCTCCACTCCCGCCATGATGCAGTCATAGCAGGCCACCCAGGACGCAACAGAACATTCGGGCTCGTCGCACGAGACTACTCGTGGCCTGGCATGCAAACCTTTGTCAGACGCTACGTAGAAGCATGTGATACCTGTGCACGCATCAAGACACCCCGTCACAAGCCTTACGGCTTGCTCCAACCTCTCGACATCCCCTCCCGTCCATGGAAAGCATTATCCATGGACTTCATTGTCAAACTCCCCGCCTCACACGGCCATGACTCCATATGGGTCGTTTGTGACCGTCTCACACGTTATGCACATTTCGTCCCGTGCAAAGAGACGCTAACGGCTCCCGACCTAGCCTGGTTGTTCTTGGACCGCATCTTTCGTCTGCACGGACTCCCGGACTCCATAGTCTCGGACCGTGGCTCCATTTTCATCTCTAAATTCTGGTCTGAGCTTACTTCGTTACTTAAGATTGATACTCGTACTTCAACAGCGTACCACCCGCAGACTGACGGTCTGACGGAACGCACGAACCAGACGTTGGAGGCTTACCTCCGCGCCTACTGCTCCTACCAGCAGGACGATTGGGTTGACTATCTCCCCCTCGCCGAGTTTGCCTTTAATAATCTCGAGAACTCTTCTACCCATCAGACTCCCTTCTTTGCTAACTACGCTTTTCATCCGTCCTTCGAGCCGCAGATCACTGAACGCTCAACCGTTCCCGCAGCCTCCGACCTTGCCACGCGACTTGACGCAATTCACATCGAGCTCCGTGCTGAGTTACAACTCGCGCAAGACATGCAGGCAAAATCGTTCAACAAGAAGGTCCTGCCAGCGCCCGACTTTCAGCAAGGTCAGCTAGTGTGGCTCTTGCGCCGCAACATCAAAACCACACGCCCCTCGTTCAAACTCGACCATCGTCGCCTCGGCCCATACCCCATCCTTCGCAAAATCGGCACCTCTGCTTATCATCTTCGACTCCCTTCCTATCTATCCCGTCTCCATCCCGTATTCAATGTTTCCCTTCTCGAGCCCTATTCAGACCCCTCCGACTTCCATACCCATGCCTCACCACTCCCTTTCGACCTCGCCGAAGATCCAGCCAATGACATTAAGGCTATCCTCGACTGCCGCAAGACTGGCCATCGCTACGAATACCTCGTGCGATGGAAATCTCTGCCCGAGTCCGAAGACTCGTGGCTTCCTCTCTCTGACATCCCCACTATATTCAATGAACTCATTGAACGCTTCCATCGTCGTCACCCGCGCTCCCCTCGTCCTCACATAATTGATTTAAACAAAAACTATCATACTCCCCTCTCCGCTACTGATACTTTTCTTCCCTTATCTTCACAGGTCCCGTCGTCCGTCGCACCTCCCGAGCCTCCCGCACCTGTCCTCGCTGCCGTCCCTCCTGCCGCTGCCCGTCCTCCGTCGCCTGCTGCCGTACGTCAGAGATTGAGATCTGAGTACGTGCCCCCAACGCAAACGACGACCCGTGGGGGTCGCGTTTCGCGCCCTGCCGAAAGGCTCGACCTGTAGCATTATCCTCACTCGCCCTAGAAGGGGGATGATGTCACGGTCATGGTCACTCTACGTAGTCCACGGCCATTCTACCTATAACACGGTCTCTTTACAGTATCAACATTGCGCCGATGTACTCCGTTCCGCGCGGAACAGCTCGTTTGGATAATCACGGACTCCTTATCTCACTGACGCGTTTACTGCGCCCAGTTTCATTCCTATGTTTCACATTACATTATCACGCTCTACATACTTATATGTGGCTCGGAGCTTTGTACCTGTCCCTTCGTCGAACCAACGCCAGTTCCTGGCTCTCTCCTTCTGCTCAGCTCCTCGCTTGTTTCTCCCGCTTGAAGAGCGCCCGTTACAGTTTCCCCAGTCTTTTTAGACGCCCAGCTGCATTTAATACGAAATTAAAACGGACGTGATTTTATCTCGGCACGTAGTACCTCTGTATGTGCTTGTTATTTTAGGACATTCGAGTCCCTGCGCGGCTAAATAGTAGCTAGACGACGCCGCGGTCCAGTTGAAATCTCTGACTTTCCATAATTCGTCTGGTGTGAAGGAGCTTCTGGGAGACACTTGTGACTCCACCAAAGGCAGGGATTCGATGCTTGTGGCCCCGACAATTCCCCTTTGGAAATTGTGCGGTTTTCGAGGTCTGTTGCAGGCGCCACTGTTTGTTGGAGGATAAGTGGAACCGAGTAACTAACTTAGGTTCGAGTGGTCCATATGTTTTATGAATCATGTGCCTCCTGCCGCCATCACGGGTTACATATGCCTGCCGTGTGTATGTTTCCTTCTCCCTTCTGATTCTCACTACCGTTACTGATAAGCTCCGTCCTGTTCCAGGGCCATGATTCTAGACTTCGTCCCTTCGTAAACGTGAGCGGTGGGTCACCGGAAGGACTCAAAGTACAGTTGTCATATCAATGCGCTCACCCCCTATAGGCTAAGGTGCTTGTTTGATTGGTCTCTGTCTCCGGTTACTGATTTCCAATCGGTTCACGCGACTTTGGTAACAAACGTAGAGCGCCTCATCCATTGCGAATCAATTCTGCACTTTGTGGACATATCACCTGCGCAATGGAATAACAATCTTCCTTGGCCATCCGTTGGATCATTATCTGTCATGGGCGTTAAAAGTAAGCTCGCATCTCTCCGTTGTTCGGATGGCGCTGATAAACATAATACACTTGGCGTGGTGATTACAGGTGGAATGATCTCGACTCACGTATGTTGTTGGTCACTCGATCCGAGCCAGTCTTCAACAATGATTTTGGACTGGCCACGTGTCAGATGTGTATCTTGCTGCCAGGTAAGGTTTTTCTCATTCCACTCCACTGTCCAGTGACCCGGGTATTGTTTCTAACTGACCCGACAGATTTCTATCCATGGTGACATTTAATGACAGATGGTTTTCCCTCCCGGTTTCGTCGCTGATTTGTCAATTTAGAAAGAAAGAACGTGTTTGGATTCTGACTTTGGAATATTACGACTGCTGCCATACGTGTAATCCTGACTTACACAGGGCTTATTTCTTCCACAATAGGAACTTATCAGACAAACCGGGGGAACCGGTTTCTTCTATGCTGTGTACCATCATTGTCTTGAACTCCGATGCCAATCATCAGCTCTCCTTTACAGGGGGTGAAGCGCTAGCCATGTATAAAAGGATACTTTGCAACTCCCTAGTGTCTCATCCACAACGATGCGCCTCTTTTTCATAGCCGCCTTAGCTCTCTCACATGCCTATGCCGTGTTTTCTCAACAGGAAGAGCTCCATGCAACTTTGACCTGCGAGGAACGTGCTAAGCAAAAGGGTGGGTGCACTTTGCTGTAATTCACCTTTACAAGAATGTTCAATTGATGTGTATCGTTACTAGGCATGCCCACCGATTGTTGGAAAGAAGTTTACGACGACGACGGTCACAAAAAGTGCCGTCGGATAGACATCCAAGAAATCTGCGAGGGTGTTGAATTTATTGATGTGGTAAGGCCGTACGCACAATCGCGGGACTGATACTGAGAGTAGCTGAGCAGGACACCAAGAAGAAGGGGTGTTGTCCAGATGACACGAATTTTCTTACATGGATTGATCAGCCTGCGCATATAGGCAAGGTATGCTTTCCATCTGCGTTTCAATCAATCATGTTAATCGACATGTTGGGACAGTGCTGCCCGGTCGGGACACACATGGTTCGCGGCCAGTGCGTCCCATCGGTCCCATCCGTAAATCCCTACCCTCAGACATGTGGTAATGGACACGGCGGTGTTGAACCCTCTTGCACGTGCACGAATAACCCAGTCTGTGGGCACGGCAAATACCTAGGCATCAAATACGGTCACTGCTACATCCTTTCCTTCTCCGATGGGCAACAACTCGGCCTCAACCGGGACAAACCTGACTACGTCAAAAACGGCCTCTTCGATGATATCCCCTTCAAAGTCTGCAAATCGCCCACTGATTGCTCCAGTGGAGAGGAGGTTGAGATGGGCCAGTCCTTCTCCCTCCAAGATCAGCATGGATTGTACGACGATGTACTGGGAACGAAAGGGTGGATCAATAACGCCTTTGGTGGCCACTCGATGTTCACCCCCAATGGCAACGAAGCCGGGAAATTCAATGGTATCCCGACTTGTGCCGGCGGTGAATGCGCTCTTCAACTGCGTGGTGGTCCCATTAACACTGCGTTGAAATTTACTTGCCCGACTGACACGCCCTCAGTTTCAAGCGTAAGTTCTACTGCTTTTCAAAGGGTTTTGTTTTCGCTAAAGATGTTTTTTGTCCATTAGTACGGCAACCCTAAAGTCGGCACGAAACTTCGCTTCTCTGAGGTGACATGCGACGACTATGAGGTTCCCCCCACTTCTGGTATTAACCAAAACTGAGGCTGGAAGGAAATTCGGGACGTTCTGCAGACTGCATGGCTTCATTCTGACTTCGTGCCCCCGTCCTGATAACAATATATCTTGCACTGATTCTCGCTATGTTTACGCTGTATGACTTGTACCTCTATTGTTTCAATTTGCTGCCTTGGCTTCACACTTGTCTTATTCAATCCGGCTCGAATATCTGAGGCGGCTACGTTTGTTTGCTGTACACGCAAATAGCAAAGTTTCTTAGTTTTCATGAGGTTGACGGAGGTGTTTCACTCATACACTCCACATAAATAGTATACCCTATCCACCTGACGATGACCATCCTCGTCTCGACATCCCACAGCCTCATGTTCGCATCAGTGCTTCCGCTCACAACGGTGTTGCCGTGTAGAGATAATTCTATGGTGCATATGGCTGACGGATCCCCTTCATCCCGCCAGTCATCGCCTATCTGTACACCGCTCTCCAAATCCCATAGTCGGAGTGAGGTGTCAACCCAGCATGTAATGATGTGTCGTCCGTCGCGCAGGTGTACGACACCTTTCACCAGGCTAGTATGTCCTCGCATCGTCTGGCGGGTCTTGATTAACGTCTCTTGCATCTCAATAGTGGAGGAAGGCCTGGTCGGCGCTCGGGGTCTCAACGTCAACTACTGCAGATCGTGAACTTTGTATGAGTGAGAAGTCTCGCGGGATCTTTGACAGAGGACGACCTCAGGACTAACATGTTCACTAGCGTTCTTGAAGAATCGCATGAGATCCTTGGTAAACTATTGGTTAACATCGCCTGGTTGAAAAGCTTGTAGTATCACTCACGGAAAGCACCAACGTTGAAAACGGAACCCACGCCAATATACCAATGAGAGGGACAGACTATAAATGGATGTTTTGTTTGAAGCCGAGGAAGTTGGGAACAAGTCATCTCAAACGTTCACTTAGACACGCATTCATGCCTTATACGTTCGATACGCGTGTTAATTATGCCATGTAGACGAATCGTTCAGCCAGCGCTATGTGCATCTTCCCATTGTTTTCCGGGACTACGTTGGTCAACCTGTAGGCCACGGGAGGTGATCTAAAGCAGGAGGCGGACAGGCCACAACGAAGAGGACGCTGCTGTTAGCCCGGTACTAAGTTCAAGGATACTCGACGAGGCGCTTGCGTGAATGATGGGGTCGCAGGATATTGCTCAGTGAAATTATTGTCCGACTCTTCAGTATCGGTAGTTAGGACGTCAAAGAGACATAATGAACACGAGTGTGATTACGTATATGCAATTGCCCTGCTATACTTAGTCAGCCGATGAAAATCGATGATCGTTGGTTCAAGTCTTGTTCAAATCTCTCATCCTAAATTCTTACCAAGTGCTACTTTGCGCCGATCGGCGAGGTACTATACATTGATATGCCATGACCTGGTGATCGCCCGATAAACCCCATAAAAGCCGGCAGTGCCAGATACAGGGTTTCAAAGGGGAACGTACATAGTCGGACGCTACCCTAGGACGCGTCCCGTGCAGGAACAATGTACCCATGGACGATCTTCTTAGGGTCATCGAAAAGGAATGCGAATGCAGAGGGTCCGAGGACCGATTATGCAGTACTTGGGCAAGTCCCTTTAGCGTGGTTGCATGTTTCAAGGATTCATGCTGTTTCAAAGTCCAAACGTTAGCATCAAGGACGGTATGAGTGATAAGTGAGTTTCAAATGAAACTTGACATTGGAATTTAATTGATCAAATCTGATTACATACATACTTAGTGATGTGTTATGCGTCTGCCCTTAGTCTGACCTTACGCATATGCGACAGAATAGAGCAACACTATTACCTGTGAGTGGGCTACCATCTCTAGCATCGGTGCAATGTACAACTAGTCTCGTCTTGTACGGTGCAGCCTGTTACTGAGCGAATTCCAGCCAGTGAAACGATCCATCACGATACTCAAGCAAAGCTTGCGATACTGATCGTTTCCCTGATATTTACGCCCCCATCTTGATGGGCTTCCAGCTCATTTATATGAGATAAGAAGGTCACGATGGGTGTGTGAAACCCGTTTGTACCTCTTGAAGGCATGCAGAAGGAGCATTCGGCTGACGATATCGCAGCGGCCAGGAATCTGCAGTCCTTGACAGTGCGTCACTTTCTTGGTCGTACGAGGGCAATATAATAACAGATATACCGTGCACCACCAGTACCTATGCAGTGCGTATGATTTTCTGAAAGTCTTCTTCCTGGTACTAACTTGGCAGCTCAGCATCGATGACTGCATTCTGGGTGGGCTTGTTCAGATCCATTCCCGTTCGCCGCTAAACTTGTTGATCTAGACCTATGATTATGCTTGTTCACTACACGAAGAGGTAATGCGGCTCATTCTGTAATATGCCCCGGTATTGATATATGCTGTTCAAAGTGGACATTCCTCCTTCGATCGCGCTGTACCAAGGTAAAAGGCCTTTATGTCATTACACGACATGCCCCCTTTTTCTTCCTCGCCGCCGAGCTATGTCGTGCGTTCGGCTCCAGCACACATCCCCCAATGGTGAACTGACATATTGTGCTTCAGAGTACTTCACCCCGAACGGGAACCCTTACGTATGTGAACATGCAGCGGACTGACTTATTGATGAATATTGCTTACCGCGTGACTTGACAGAATTGCCGGATACCGTCCAATTTTTACTCGGGTGCGTGCACGGTACATGCTGCATGGACGTCCTTGCTGAGTGCTGGTCTACAGTTTTAAGTATAATATCAGTCGCTTGCTCTGAATGTATCTCTCCTTCCCCTCTAAACACACGTGCTCCTGATCTGATTCATCTAGTGTTTTTTGTAATCAGAACATATGCGCTCTGGAACAACAATAGAATCGCACTCGCAGCAATGTTGTCCGCCTTTCTCGTAAGTACCCTCACTATCTCCATATCCAAAGCTCGAGGTACATGAACTAGTCAGGTTGCTGCGGTTGGATTTCTCGTCATTTTTTCCATCACCGTTATCACATCACAAGGTTTGTGCTCTCACTTCCCCTCACTACTATTCGCACATACTCACTCCACTTTCACAGTTGCGACCATCGCAATCCCAGGCATCACAGGCTGCTACCAGACCTCGACTAGCTTTCTCTTCATACAGTTTCTTCTCTTGTTTGCATTTCAACTAGGTTTGTTGGCAGAAACCGGAAGCATGCATATACAGTGGCATACTGATTGGTGTTCTCCCAGGACTCATCTCCTTCACGCTCATACATGTCATACAATGCTGGCGGACGACAAACGGCCCTCTGTACGCCATCCTGGTCAAGCATAACATATTCTACTATGCATCTGGTCTGTGTGAGTCAGGAAGCACGAATGTTCCCATGATCATCGGTGATGATTCTTGTTCCGAAAGTTCTCTCGGCCGTCAACGTCCTCATATCGATGCTGTTTGGCCATGTGCGTGGACTCCCAATTACCCTGTGTTGTCGAGTCATTGATGTTCTGCACACCCAGTCCATATACCACCCCATCTTGAAAGAGTATGCACCCCTTAACTTCGCTGCGAATTCCTACTCAGAAGACCTTAAAACCAAACATTTACAGTTGTGAGTGCTTGATCCTTGCGATCCTCGCCACGCGCATGCACCTCCATCTTTGGTATACAGACCTGGATGCACACGGCTCTGATGCCCTTGGGATGATTTTTTTGTCTGATATGGTCCCGGCAGACCCTATAGCTTATCCGGCGTCGTTTGTGGAGCGAAATTTGGACTGAACGAGATGACTGGTCTGGGTTGCTTGGTCGGGTTTGGAAGGCGCTTAACTTATGGGAATATATTTCTTGCCGTCAGTAGGCGGGAGGTGCGTTTGGTTGCCTACAATATATTTATCATACATAGGTGTTGAGTTTCCACTGTGAGGGCCGTGGATAGATATCACCGTTCTCGAAGTTAATGGAGGTGTTTTACTCGTACGGGGTAACATTCGTACGGCGTAACGTCTCATCGCGTGGCTTATTCGGTGTCGTTTGTGGAGCGATGTTACTGAACGAGAGATATGTGCTTACCAGCCGGGTTCGGGGATGCGCTCAGCTTATACTAGGACTGCATTTTTTGTCGCGGACGGGAGGTGCGTTAGGGCGGCCTTTGGTCTGTTTAAGTTTTACATTGCAGGTCTCGAGCTGAGTGGACATTCTAGACTGCCTGAAGCGTGGGGAGTCTGTAGTGTACAAGGGAAAGGGACATCAGTAATAAGTAGCGCGCGATATGGTGCACGCGGTCCGAGTATAAGCGCCTCAGGATAACATGACGGTGTGAAAGGTGTTGAGGATTTTCGGATGATTTGTGAAGAATACGTGAATGCTCCGCGCTGTGCTCCATCTCTTGGAGCATTCACTTTTCAAATTCAAATAGTTGATGATGGATCGATGACTTTCCAAATGCCAAGCTGAAAACACCCTCGTCGTCAGTCTGGGCGTAAGTCCAAGAAAACACCAAAACGCGCTAGGAGTCCTACTCCAGTGTTATCTCAACCCTCAGACTCAGAAGTCCCAACAGAAGTTGCAGATTCGGACGCAGATGCGGTGTATCGCGACTTTAATCCATGGCATACGAGTTCGATGGAGCAGAATCTTTCAAGGACGGTGAGTTGCAAAGGCTTTCACAGACGTCATGATTGCTGACAACCTGGCACACTAGGGAGCAGCATCCTTCGTTGCTATTGAACTTCTATTTCGGGTCGATGGTATATCCCCTCAGCACTCTCCGATGCACGACCTCGAGTCATTTTTCTACGCAATTATTGTCATCTTGATGCTCTTCGTTGAGCCTGGAGTGAAAAGGAGCGCTGAGTACTGGAAGGATGCTGGATTGGAGCATTGGTGGTACCCAAACGACTGGAACCTTGCGGCGAAATGGAAGTACAGCACTATGACGGCCGACTTCTCTTTCAATGATAGCATTATAGGCCATGTCTCTGGGTACTTCGATTGCTGGAAGCCCTTGATTCACAAGCTTCGATGTGCCATTTTCGGTACCATGGTGGTCGAGCACATCTCTTCTTCCCCCTTTAACTGTCGTTACAAGAACACCAACCCTATCACCTACGACACCATGATTTCCATTCTCCAGGAGATGGTGCGACTTGGCAAGGAGCAGGACATTTTGGAGCGAGAGAACCCCACAGAGTACAAGGCGGGGTTGGGAGATCAATATTGGGAGGAGGATGAAAGAGACATGGAAAAGAAGCAGCAAGGATGGGGGAGTCGATTCTCCTTGAAGCATTCAGAGGATGTCAACGGCCGTCCAATCCAGTCTGACGTTCAGGTCAGTTCCTCAGATTTGGTCTTCACGCCTGTTGAGACCTTCAAGATCACCGACACGCTCGATGAGGTGGTTGTTCAGGTTTACAGCGACATTGTTCAAGAGGAGTACCCTCCTGATCCATATCATCTTCAAAACCCGTCCCCTGGAGGAGACATGCCCAACTTTGTGGATCCGTCACTCTGCACCTCAGATCTCCCGACATCATCCTCTACAATGGCAGTTGACCCACTCCCCTCTCACTCTGGAGATCCTCGCCCTCCTGTCCAGGAAAGGCCGCAGAGGACTAAAGATAACGACCGTGATGGACCACCTCCTGCCAAAAAGTCGCGTAAGAGCTCCAAACCATCACCATCAGAAACATTGCCTACTAAGAAGAAATCCAGGAAATCGAAAGCAGGCGGCTCCAGCGCAGCAGGTCCCTCGCATGCTGCCAATTCGAGGGCATCAACACGATGCTGAGTGGTTACCAGCTGAGAAAGAAGCGATTGGGTCAAGAGGGCGGGACGCAGCATCCATGAACTTTCAGGGCATATTGAAAGTGGCTTCTGGTCGGTCTGGACAAAGGTGACGCTCATATGTTTGCTGCATTACTCTATTGGATTAATACATATCTGTATGGATACTTGTACACTTTTATATTGCTAGCTGTACTTAGTGGCCTGCGCTTCTTATAACCTTGTACTAGTCCTGTGACGGTGAAAGAATTGCGTGTGAAATTCTGCAGGCCGCTGCACAGATTCCCAGGCCTGCTTGGAACATATCTTATCATAACCCTGCAGCCCAACTACTACTACGCAACCACTCAGAGGTAAGTTGTTTTTGGGCATTGTAATATAATCTAAAACTTATTTGCCTCATCTACCAAGCTACAACTTGAACATGGCATCTCTACGCAGAGCTCTTCAGCAGACTGTCCATGATCCGGAACGTACATGTCCTGCTTGTGGAAGATCAGACTTCAAAAGCACCAGAGGCGTCCTGAGTCATATGTCACAGGCTAAGGGTTGCCAGTGGTATCGCAAGGGCAAGTTACGGGACCTCGGAATTCATGACGACGCTAACGACGACACAGAGTTAGAGCCTTTTGTAGGGGAGGAGGAGAATGCTGATGAAGAAAATGGATGTAACGGTGACCAGTGGGACCCCCAGGAATTTATGGAGGAATTCCATGATGAACAATTCGACCTCATTCCCATCTGTCCCCCTTCTGTACCGTCACCTAATGCTGAAGATCTTTCCGGCCAGGAGCCTCCACCGCTGGCAGGGCCCTCAAGAAGGATGCTCAACCATGATGATGATCAATGAGTGGTGATCAATCATCCCACTGCTGGGAGAGTTATTCAAATGGCCGAGACATTGCATTCCAAGTGGAGGAGGTATTTTCTAGGGGAAGAAGGCGGGGTATTGGACAGCCAGGGAGATGTTGTGATGCAGGATGTTGAGGAAACGGGTTCCATGAACAAGTATGCTCCCTTCGCCTCAGAGATAGATTGGCGTGTTGCTCAGTGGGCTGTTGTTGATGGTGTTGGACATAACTCTCTAGATCGTCTTTTAGCCATTCCTGGGGTGAGAACGGTGCTTTCCTGATTTATGCTTTATTTAATCTGTACTTGTGTATGCTAGGTCGTTGAAAAACTTGGAATATCATTTCACAACACCAGAGCAATGCATCAGACCGTCGATAGTATCCCTGCTCGCGCCAAATGGAAGACTCAATACCTTTCCTTTCCTGATGCTCCAGATGACAAGCATCTTATTCAGTACCGCGATCCACTTGAGGCTATAAAAATGTTACTGGGGAATCCGGCTCACACAGATCACACGGTATACAAGCCCTGCAAAATATTTTCTGATCATTCCAAGACAAATCGTATATACAATGAGATGTGGACAGCTAAATGGTGGCACTCTGTTCAGGTAAGTCGCCTAGCTACTCTAATATTCCAATTTTGCTAATGGGCCTTAATAAAGGCACTACTACCAGAGGGAGCGACGTTAGCCCCAGTCATAATCGCCACTGATAAGACGCAACTCACACAGTTCTCTGGGAGCAAGTCCGCATACCCAGTATATCTAACGTTGGGCAATATTTCCAAGGCCATACGTCGAAAACCCTCAGAGCAGGCATGTGTCATTTTTATAGGCTACCTTTCTGTTGACAAGATACTGGCCTCTCACCTCACTCAGAAAGAGAAGTCATCGAGAATACAGAGACTATTCCACGACTCCATGAGAATCATACTAGAGCCGTTGAAGGAAGCCGGAATGAAGGGCATGGAAGTGACTGGGGGTGACGGAAAGGTTAGAAAGGTGCATCCAGTTTTGGCTTGCTACGTCGCGGACTATCCGGAGCAGTGTTTGGTGACTTGCACCAAGTATGGCACGTGTCCTAAATGTCATCGATCGGCAGATGATCTGAACCTCAAGACTCCTGGAGAGAGACGCACACAAACCTGGACCCTTGGCGTTATCAAAGAAGCAAAGGCCTCATCACCTTCCCTACACCAGTTTCATTCCAAGTGTCAAGCCTCTGACGTGTCAGGAACTGTTCAGCACCCTTTCTGGGAGGGATACCCATACACCAATATCCACCTAGCCATAGTGCCAGACGTCCTTCACCAGCTGTATCAAGGCGTATTCAAACATTTGATTTCCTGGTGCGATCACCTATTCCATCCCTCAGAGCTTGACGAGCGCATTAGAGCCCTTCCTCCATGCTATGGCGTACGCCACTTTCAAAATGGCTGGTCGGCTCTTTCCCAGATATCTGGCAAGGAGCGTAAATATATGGCCTGTATTCTCTTGGCATGTCTTATTGGGAAGGTGCCGCGCAAAGTACTGGTGGTATATTGTTCTCTGCTGGATTTTATTTACCTTGCTCAGTATCCCAGCCATGATGACGTCACTCTTGGCTATCTTCAAGACACCCTTGACACCTTCCACAAACACAAAGATATTCTGATATGCCTTGGTATTCGAGACCATCTCAACATACCAAAAATCCACTCCATGGTCCATTATGTTGAGTCCATACACTACTTCGGCTCCACCGATAACTACAATACAGAGGCGTTTGAACGTCTACATATTGACTTGGCCAAGGACGCTTGGAGGGCCACTAACAAGAGAAATGAACGCCCCCAGATGGTCGCTTGGCTTACAAGACAGGAAAAGGTCGCACTATTCCACCAATATCTGGAGAGGCAGGAGAGAGAAGAACAAGGATCAGATCATGATTTGCAACATTCCCCTCAGACGATTTCTCTAACAAAATACCCCTCACACCAAGGGCAAACCTTACAAAATATAATGCTCACTCATCGTTGTCCAGGTATACTCACAAACAATGCATAATATGATCCTCATACTCACCTATTATTGTCTAGGTTTGGTTGACGATCTCAAAGTGTTTCTCAACAAATGCCAATCCAAAAGAGCTGGCGCCACTCTCTTGAGTAGAAGGACAGTTGAGTTGAGTAATGTACCCTTCGACAAGTTGGACGTATTTCATGCCTTCAAGTTTGCTCGTGAAGAATTGGGAGATGATGCTATAGATATGAAGCAGGAAAAGGATTGGGTACGAGCACATCCATCTTCTGCAAGACTGGAGGAGTGTTTTGATACAGTGATTATCATGAAGTCGGACCAGTGTGAGTCTACAGGAGTTGAAGGTGAGTTTTGACGCATTCATAATTTAGCTTTATATCTTATGCTTCTGCAGGAACAGGTGTCGGTCGCCTCCGTCTCATATTCAAACTACCCAACACAGTGTATGGAGCTATAGACGCTCCCACATATTGGCCAAAAGAACCTTTAGCTTATGTGGAGTGGTATGCTCCTCTTGCTAATACCGCTGATGAAGATCACAAGATGTATCAAGTGAAAAAGGCACCTCTCAGGAGAGGAGGGTCTCCTCCTGGAGAAATTGTATCCCTTAGTTCTATACGTCAGAGTTGTCAGCTGATTCCTTGCTTTGGATCTGCAGAAGTTCCTATAGCATGGACTTCAGGGACGGTATTAGATTGTTGTAGTAAATTTTGGTTGAATAATTGGTCTAGTAAATACGCATATCAATCCTTATGGTAGTTTCAACATCTTTTCTTTTAAAACTTTGCTATATCATTCTATTGGCTACTATAATAGCTATAATAGATCTTGTTGACAAAATGACAAACAATATAGGTCTATAATTACTTGTTAAGTTATATAAAGTCAGGGTTCTCCCACATAACTCTATATAGCCGAAGGGTTTTTCCTGATGCCACCACTGGCAGGTAATTGTAGTCTGTTAAATTTATTCGACCACTTCTACTACTGAGACATTTTTCTATTTAGATACAGGATCTCCGAGCGCGACTCCGAGTCAAACACTCGATTATGACGTGGCGTCCGATTCTATGGGCTTCAAGTTGTGAAGCAGTAATACTAATACTACGTAGTATACTATACCATTCCGTTTCCATCTACAAGTACACTAGTAGTACATACTTTGAATCAATGTTTGTAAATGCCGGCTTTAAACTTACTAGTTGTACTTCGTTCAAATTGAAACTTAGACTCGGAGATCATACATCACAGCCAACTTGAAGAGCTGGTACCAACTTCTCGAGTTGCTCGCTGTAGCGCGATGTGTGGTGCTATGTCGCGCTGTAGCAATTTTATATATACCGTCATCAATCGCTATACATTGCTACAGAAGTCTGCACCTGCTGTAATATGCTGTAATATGCTGTAAGCCGCCATGGTAACTGTGCTAAATTTAGTGTTTTGCTGATGCAGAGAGAGCTCTTCCAGGCGCAGTGGGAGATTCTACTGGATGCAGAGTTTTTGGAGGTGTATAAACACGGTATCGTTATTTTGTGTTGTGATGGAGTTACGTGTAGGTTCTACCCAAGGATATTCACTTACTCGGCAGATTACCCAGAGAAGTGAGTCATTTTTAATGACAAAGTCAGAAGCTAACGAGACCAGAGCTCTTATCGCAACTATCCGTCAACTAGGTGGATGTCCCTGTCCAAGATGTTTGATTCCAAAGAGTCGACTGCACAATCTTGGTATGACTCGAGATAGACAGCAGCGCACTACACACCAGCGCTCAGATGGCGATCAGGAACAATTGGTTGTCGCCGCTAGGAAACTTATATATGAAAAGAATTATGGAGTAGACAGCACTGCGGTAGAAAATCTACTGAAACCTTGCTCTTGGGTGCCAACCTATGTAAGCAACTTGATTGATTCTTTCAGCCAAGCTGACAGGTTGTCAGAACACCTTTTCTAAGCGTCTTAGTTGTCGAGGCTTCAATATATTTGAAGTGCTAGTGGTGGATCTTCTTCATGAAGTGGAACTTGGAGTTTGGCGCTCACTCCTAATACATTTACTTAGGATTATACGTTCTATTGATAAAGATCTAGTGCATGAGCTAGACAGGAGGTCTGGTAACTTTTTCCTTCTCAATGAGATGAATGCTCATTTGTTATGTCCTCTCATAGATACCGACTGGTTCCATCATTTGGACGATCTACTATAAGAAGATTTACCGCGAATACATCAGAGCTATCCAACATGGCGGCGCGTAATTTCGAAGATCTCCTCCAGGTACGTGCAACGTGTAGGCTAGATTAGCTCCGCTGATTTTCTGAAGTGTGCTATACCAGTATTCGATGGTCTTTTTCCCGCTACTCAAAACCAGATAGTGCAGGACCTTCTTTTCACCCTGGCTCATTGGCACGGCCTATCAAAGCTCCGCATGCATTCAGATTTGACATTGGATATCCTTGATGCAACTACTACCGATATCGGCAACCAGCTCCGTGACTTCAAGGTCAAGGTATGCTCAGTCCACAATGCCAAAGAGCTTGACAAGGAAGTGAATGCACGTTCGCGCTGTCAAGCAAAAGAAGCAGTTTGTTGGACCCAGGCTGGCAAGAACAACAAATCTGTTACCAATGGCCTCCTTACTACTACGACGGTAGAGGAACCGGTGGATCGCAACAAACTTCGTAGGACAGTTTCCTTCAACCTGCAGACTTACAAGATCCACGCTCGGAGACTATGTGTCTTGTATTCGACACTTCGGAACAACCGACTCTTACAGTACTGAACCGGTAAGCTTTGACAATTGCAGCTGTACTGATTATCTGAAGCATCTGGACAGGGAGAATTGGAACACCGCACTGGCAAGAGACGATATCTTAGAACAGATAGGAAATCCTTCATACGCCAGCTCACTCAAATTGAGCGTTGCCAAACCCGTATTAGGTGTATCAAGAATCGTCTTGAAGAACCAAGAGCTAGTGAGGCGGCAGATAGTATGACTTACGAACCCTGAATACACCACCACATTGGCCTGAGCGAGAAGTCAAATGACGACATTGGCTCTTACCTGCGGTTGCATGAAGGTGATCCAGCCATGAAGGTACGTATTTTTCTACCAATGTTTCATTTATAGCTGAACATGCTTTCATTATAGAATTACTTTTCACGCCTAAAAGAGCATCTTCTTTTGCGCATCCTGACATCTCAACCAGGCGATTCATGTCAACAAGCGGAAGGAGGAACAGATCAAGTCCTCTTCAAACACAATCGCATATATCACCATAACATTGCTCGCTTCAACTACACAACTTACGACACGCGACGAGATCAAGATGTCATCAATCCCAAGACCTCACACCGCGACATCATGCTTCTCAATAGCACTAGCGATAATAGTGATTGTGGTGGGCGCTATCACTATGCCAGGGTGCTAGGAGTGCACCATGTTAACATTGTGTATACCGGCGGTCCCTATCATACTGCCCTTAGAATGGAGTTTCTTTTTGTACGATGGTATGAGCCAGTGGGGCATGCTAACCCTGGCAGGACCGCCTTGGATCGCCTTTATTTTCCTGCATTGGATAGTGAAGATGCCTTTGGATTTCTAAGTCCAGCTGATGTTATGAGAGCTGCTCACATCATCCCTTGTTTCTCCAAAGAAATGCGACACAAGGATGGAAAAGGCTTGTCAGGCATAGCCGGCGATAAAAGTGATTGGTGTCAATATTTTGTCAATCGGTGCGTATGATCAACCTTCTTAACCTTTGCTTTACTGATTTATAACATAGATTTGTAGACCGAGACATGCTGATGTGTTTTCATTATGGTTTAGGGGTAGGGCATGTATACTCTCATGAAGAGGCGCTCAACCCTCCTCCCAAAACTATCAGTCTCAATGAGGCCCCCTGCAATGAACACGTTGGCGGAAATGAATATGAGCCGGAGGATGCATTGGAGGACGATCACACAGGTGTTGAAGAAGGAGATATATTTGACCAGGAGAAAAACCAGAGTTCTGAATTGATTGTAGAGGAGTTAGATGATATGTTTGTTCGACATGAGTATGATTATGAACCCTGATAGCAGTACTATAGGGGAAGTCATTTGGAATGAACTATATACCAGCACCTCTCTAATGTTCAAGATCACCGTCATCTGATTTTGCCTACTACTACTGGTAATACTGTCCAACATCCGCGTCCAGCAGTATACTGAATCATGCGGCACAGCCACTACAACTACAGATAAACAAAACCTGCGCCACATCAACATCGACGAAAGCTTCGTGCATTTTGGAAAGATTATGCGTGCTATGATCTCGTATCTATCTACCTTTTATTGTTGATTTTCCAATTCTCAAAATCTAAATCATAACATTAACAGCATTAATGCCGGTATGTCCATTGATAGCCTCTCATCCCTGCGCTTCAGACCGCGATCGATGCCTTTAACAGAAGAAGATTCCGCTGGACCGCAGTACACCTGCGTGGCCGACGCAGTTGGGGCGGTACACCCAAAAGGTAAGAAGGTGAGCACCCATTACTTTTGATATCATTATATCCACGCTGACTTTTACCATATACAGGGTGCCACCTCTAGTTCCAGACTTTACAGTGCAGGGGCTGCAATTCGACCTTCTTAAGTCGGTTTTTGCTTTCTAATAGTAGCGCTTTGACTCTGACATTGGCAGGAATGAGGTTTATGGGGAATGGGAGGAGTTTGTTCATCTGTCCGGAGCCACCTACTACTACAATAGGACAAGGGTGAGCACCAATTGCATGTACACATTTCACTTACTTTTTTGGAAATGTAGAAAGCATACACTGGATTCAATGTAAGGGATTGCTCTAGTGATTGCCTTGACAAATTCGAAGCTTGGGTCAAAGCAACGCGAGCCCGAGCACATGAAGATCTCTTATTAGTTGCTGAGCCGGTGAGGACTCAGAATGTGGATGGGGATGTCTACCTCTATTATCTGGTGGCACTGGAGGCACGCATCATCGGCTGGCTGGAAACTTTTGATGGCACCCATCTTTTCAGAGAATGCGACTCTGCCCGCCAATGGAATCATAAACGTATGTGACCTTTTTATGTCTCTACCTGACCTTACATTGTGCAGGACTCGAACTGGAGGCCCAATTTTGGTAAGTGATCATAGATGGCGGCATAGCATGATTTATTCACGAAACTACACAACAGGAAGCATGTAGAGTTTTTCCCCCGAGACTTCAAGTTGGATCACATCTTTCTACGACAATTGCGAACTGAACTTGATTGGTTTCACGCAGGTGAGTTCTATAGCATGCAGCACTGAATAGCGTGACCTGAATAAACAACAGACGCATTGACGTTAGAAAGTTCCACCTCGGCGACTATATTTTCCAACAGGGAAACTATGGAGAAACTCATCAATTGATTAGCCAGTCTCGGTATGTTCCCGTGTGTTGCTCTATCTTATCGCACCTTGATGACCGGATATTAGATGATCTTTCAGAATCTGAAGGAATCATAACAGAACCAGGTGTTGCATTGCTTGGTTAGTAAGCCTCTAAGAACCGATGATTATATACTTATCTCATTACCGACAGGTAGACTATATCACATGCTTCGTCAGTTGTCTCCTCATCTTAACAGACATTGACACTGAGTACTAATACAGGCCATCATCAATACCTGAACTACTTTGGCCAACCTGAAGCCCGCCTATTACGAACCCATTCAATGGGCCCAGGGACTAGAATGCAGGGACCTTTTCCTTTCATACTTACAGTTGCTATGTTATGCCTTCCAGTTTTGGTTCGCGAACGCCTTAAGCAGATTTATGTAGACGGTCTGGTCAATTATCTTGACCTCAAAGACTTCATCAATGACTTCAACATTCAGAACAATGCGCAAATCACCTTGGTAAGTAACATTTCAGATCATGGAGGATTTCTTGTCATTTAACACCCTATGACAGGCAGGGGTCATCATGGTGATCAATGCCGGTTTCCTTGCTGTACAAGGTGTCGGTACTGGATTGGTCGCAGAGTCTATGTTGAAGGGATCTATCATTTTTTGTGTGGGCTGCCTGTTTGCGGGCATGTTTAATGGTGGCGGGCCTGTACCAAAGGTCCTCAATGTTGCGGCCAGATGATAGAGAGTAGCCATTGAGTAACTATGGGGTGTTACATTACATAGTCATCCAATATCATCACCAAGAATTGAGAGGCGGATGACCAAAGGAGTGAGATGATGAACCTATGCTTAAATGTCACCCAAAAGGCCAATGGTAGCAGGCCCACACCAAAGGCCGTCAATGTTGCGGCCAGATGATAGAGAGTAGCCATTGAGTAGCTATGGGGTGTTACATTACATAGTCATCCAATATCATCACCAAGAATTGAGAGGCGGATGACCAAAGGAGTGAGATGATGAACCTATGCTTAAATGTCACCCAAAAGGCTGGCGATAGCACGCCCATACCAAACGCCCTCAATGTTTCAGCCAAATCATAGAGAGTAGACATTGATTAACTATGTGGTATCTTACAGTCAACCATTAACAAGGTTGGTCCTGATGTACTTTGTTTGTACCATCTTATCAAATGTAACTAGACAAACCTAAGACTCAGTGATTTCCTGATGAATGTAGTGGGGACGAGGACAGTGTGCAGGCAGATATGGCGGCAGGACGTGGTATTGACAGAGAACGAACACGTTGGAGGGGGTAGGGCAGTGCCTAGGGTAGTGTCCGATTACTTGGGTTGTTGGCGATTGTGTGTTGTACCGCCCTGGAACGTTGTGCATGTGGAGGAAAGGAGGAAAGGGCGTGGGAAGCCGCCCGCCCTTTCACAAGGTTTGGAATAAGTCGGGGGTTGCAGGAAGTGCCAGCTGCTAAGAGAGGGCGGGATGTATACCCGAACAGGGCTTACTCTTTTGGGCGGGGTAGAGAGAAGAGCTGTAAGGTAAAATGGGTATTTGGTGCGTGATTAAACACTGGTGTTGGAGAATTACAACACCCAAGCCTTATTAAACTTGGTGAGACATGTAATCACCAAGCTTTATAAGGCTTACTTATTGGGAAGGCCAGGTGCTTTTGTGTGTGTGGACAGAATGGTATAACTTTACAGGTCAGTGTGCTACTGGACAGTAGCACATAATATTTTTTGTCACAGTGTTAAAATATTGTACATAGCACAATTCTCTGTGGGCATCTGTGGCGGTCTGTACAGGAACTAACAGAATGAAGTGTTATTGTAGTTAAGTGTACAGAAGGGACTAAGCTGTGCATCTTTTGTTCTGTACAGAACGAAGTAGTTTGCTGATGCAATGGAATGTCGAAACGACCACCAGCTGCCAAAACTCACTCAAAGAGCAAGGGTAAGGGTAAGCAAAGGTGCATCGAGGATTCAGGAGATGAGGAAGATCATCAGCAGGTAAAATGTGCAAAGAGGCAAACACGCAGTAGGTAGACGGGTGAATATTTTTGTTGCATAGTACGTTCCTGTCATCTTATTGGCCTAGTACTCATATCTTATTACAGGACTCCTTCACTTTTCCATTCCACTCAGCATTCACACTTTCACACTTTCACTATGGTTCTCTGTTCAAGTGTTTCATTTTCTCTTCACAATGCATGCCTTACTTCCAGATCCTGCCCAATAGATGAGTGGACTCATTGCATTGACGCGCGTTTTGTACATTACAGTGTATTACAAGTTCTTGTTGCTTCGTATAGATTGATAATACATCACATTGCATGAATATATCAGAGTGATACACAATATCTGAACTATCTACATGATGAACAATTTCTGAACTATCTACACGATGAACAAAGTCGCAAGCTGAAGTATGACGTAGACGCATATGTTGATCGAACTTCGCATTCCCTAGGATGGCAATACATACTGAGCCCGGCAGCCGATACATCCGACGGTATTGATACCGCAGACATGACCATACATAGTCATGTCTGGGCTGAGTAATTTTTGTGATGACATTTGAGTAGGACGATGACCTCAAGCGCTTGACAAGACTTGCGTGACTACTCTACGACATCGCGCAAACATGTCTTCTCTCTGAAGGGGGCTCGCTCCAACATGTACGCCGCCACCAGTAAGAACAAATATGATAGTAGTAGGGCGATTTCGATTTCGATCGTGAGATGCCATCGCAAGCTGCAGGACGTGACCAAATTTCCGTTTCGCTATTGTTAGCTTGCATGGCTTGTACATTCATGATCTGCACAACTCACTCAATGTCTAGTTGCCTTTGAACACAATTACCGCATATTGCATGTTCCTGTCGTTGTTCAAAAATCTACAACATCACTTTTAGCGGTCTCGGTGCTCTGTTAGATCTAACACCTGGAGCCACAGAGACAACGGCACGAAAAATGATAGAGCAAGGACATCTGAAAGGGTCGATTGATCATGTCGATAAGTTCATCTGGTTCGATGCAGCAGGACAACAAGATGATGTTCAAGGCATAGCAAGTGGTCTTGGTGACGTAGAGCAGACAAACGAGGACACTGGTGCTCCGTTCACTAAGTGGTGGGACTTGTAAATTTGCATGACCGCGGCAAATGTACGTCCCAGGAATCCACTCAGATAGCTCTCCAGCTGATTTGATTGGCAGGTGGAGACTATTGTGCAACACCTGGCTGAGAAAGGTCTTGTCCAACAACCAGCGGTTACAGCATGAAATGGTTGTGATTTTTGTAAAGAGATCCTCGGCAGCTTGCAGCATCTCTTCGGCCCTGGACACCTTGTTGAGGTAGGCTGTACGTCCTCCCACAACGTGCACGACACTGTCTACATTTTCAGTGTCCGGCCGTCTGCACAATGGAGTGCGCTTTGCCATTGCCCAATCCAGATTTTGGACAGAGCGCACCTAAGTGTTTACAAAAGTAAGAATCAGTATATTACTACGCAGCCGCAGAACTCACTTCCATCAAAGTTGCTGATTTGCCTGCAAAAAGGTCAGTGATATGATTGCGAGTTATGTTACATGTGACTTACGCAACAACGTATACAGCCCTACATCATCCCTAAAATGCTCATAAGATGCTGCTGCGCAAAGTAAGGCGGTGCAGCTCACTTGGTGAATACAACAGTGACAATGCCTAGATGAAATTGAGAAAGACTGCTGAGGTTTATGACACAAGAACGCTACCTCTTATGGCCCAGCGTCCAGCGTACTGTTGGATCTGTAGAATAACATTTTGGCCCTGTTCATTGTTATGGAAGTTCTGAATTTTAGTGATGACGAGAACAAGGGGATGGCGGCACCCACACCGCATAGCAACTTCATGTAGCTTATCTGGCGCTGGACTATCTTGTTAAATCCAAACCCAGCCTCGTAGCTTTCTTTACCACGCACCATGTTCAATATCAATTGCGGGACCGCCTGCAAACCATAAATGTGTTGGTTATAACACTGAAAGCATCAATCGAAGATTTCATACCGGATCGAGGGTCCTAGTCTCTGGAACAGTCCCGCCAGCAGATCCTCGCTAAATTCATAGGTTTAAAGGATTCCCTAGGCGCAAACGAAACACCAACAAAAAAAGAGCCCCATATCCGCGGTTAAATGACTCAAGTCTTGGGTCATGACTTGGTCATGACCGTAAATGACAGGATCCTCACTGATCCTCATCTCATTCGCGAGGCAGTGGTTTGTTGGCACTGTTACGTGCCAGAACCTCAGAGTAGATCTATAATATTGATAGATCACCGGATCAGCAAACAGAAGCAAGCAGTCTCAGAGTCAAGAATGACCTCATGAAGATGGGATACGACTACTAACCTCACAAGTCTCACGTATGTTTTCAGACCTTGATAGAAGGAAGACAATCGTTCCTTCTACCTGGACCGCTCGTGGAGCCATCCTTCCACCCTTCATGAACAATTGTATACACTGTGTACACAGCGCTCCGAGTCCGTCGAAATTCTCTGTGATGTCGAAGCACATACTAGATTCATGTCCGTGTCTGTCTGAACTTCCGAATGATTCAGTCAAAGGCACATGCTGCGGAATTCATGTCAGAGCGCTGACCTCTGTGGGGTTCTGAAAATGAAGTACATACTGATTATTACTGAATCCACTGATACTCAGTCAATGCCTGAGTGTCCATTGATTTGGCCTGTACTCATCCAGTCCTCGTTTCTTGAAGCCAACAAGACAAAGGATGAAAGGTTACGGTAATAACTTGCCCTGCGGTCGCCTATTGACAACGCTTTACCGCTCTGCGTCCATTGTGACGGCTAAACGTCTTTTCACGGACAGTTTTGGTCCTCGTTCACCTTTATTTGTGCTCTGAGAAAATGAGCAGGACACCATGAACTGCTTGTCACGAGCACGGAAATACAATACAGCTGTGGTTTCGGGAACTGGACTGAGTAGTTGTGCAACACTGTCACGGTGTTTGCCCAAGTATATACCCTATATTTTCAGTACTCCGCTAAAGAATATCCTCCAAAATATCGAGATAAGGATACTACTGGGGCCGCATCCTGCCTGGCCCTGGGCCATAACTAGCGAGCACCAAAATAAGCAAAAAACCCACCACAACGCCGAGTGTAGTAAGGGATGCAATCATTACCGGCGCAGAAGGCTTGAAGTCTGTGGCGACACCTGAGAGAAACCCGAGAATGGAACCCGTTACACTGCCAGTAATTCTATGAGAGACACAAGTAATCACGATCAAATATTGCTTACCTCAGTACACAGAAAGAAGTTGGTATGCCTGTAATGACGATGAACATCTTTGTCTTACGTTGCAGGTAATATAACTGTGAGATTGGCAAGGTCAGTTAGGGTTCAAAAGGATAGTGTAAATCGAACCGCGAAGTCCATGGATCTCATTCTCTCGCCAAAGTGTCGCACCATCGTGCCCGCGAAAATACAACCGACACCAAAAAGTAAAGCACAAGAGCATATAACTTGTGAGGCCTCTGTCGCGCCTAGACCTGGAATGGCGAGGATGGCGATATCCATGGCGATAGAGACTCCTGCCTATCAGGACAAAAACTAAATAGAGGTATTCTCCTTTACGTGGCACTTACCAGGGTGATTTGACCTTGCGCTTGACTGCTGAAATCGTTGATAAATGAATTAACTTCCACCCCATTCAAGACACCATCAACGGAAGTACTCTTGATGCGATCAATCGTGATGGGCATGCAAAGCACCATAGCTGCAGCGTTGCCCATGAAAACAAGCAGTTTACACGTCCTATGGTTCTTTCTCACTGCATGGCCTCGAATAAGGCGAGCTTCGGGTTGGTTGTGACGGTTCAGAAATTGGTGGTGCCCTACACGATCTGGGAAATTAATAATGTCCGATTGTAAGAAAACCGCGTATGTATGATGTACAATATCCTGCCTGTTAAAGAGAAATCAGTATCGGAAAGGCCCGATTTTCCCGATGCTCACGTACAACAGAATACCACGCCAGTTTCTTCTACGATCCCATTATCGACAAGGCCTTCTGTCGCTCGGTCGTCAGGATGATATGCAGGGTAGACACGAGCACGTACCAATGGTGGTCAAATGTGCACCAACCTGACCCATCTGGCCGATAGTCCAGAACATTGAAGCGGCAGAAGATTGTCCCAAAATTGTGGCTTCTATTTTTATCTCAGGTGACTCTGTCAGTCGCTGCAGCGCTATAGGCTTACCTCCAATGTAGCAGAAAAGTTCTCTTTGTATGCGTCTCACTTGCGAGGTGTCCATTTGGAACTGATGGGGGAAAAATTCGAAGTGTTTCCTGTCGACCAGTGAGAAACGCTCGTTTAATTAGGTGACATCGACCGCTTACCAGTATTGAGCCTCGAGTTCAAGCCCTATGTAATCAAAATCAAACTTGAGAAAAAGTAAAAGCAACAACATACTCTTATGTCTCCATTCACTTGTCTGAATACATTCTCCGAATAGCAGCTCGCCATTTAGATCTTCTAGCCAAGCAATGATGTGTTGGTCGGGGACCACGTAATAGTATTGAAATCGTTCTTCTCCCATGAAGATTGTTGGGAGAACGACAAGTATCCATGTATCTTCATTTACTGCAGCCCGCGACGCATCGATAAAATCCTCGAGATGATGTAGACCTAGATAACGCCTTAGGTTCATTGGTGTAAACGCGTTCTAAATCTCCATATGAGCGCATCCGTTATACAACTAGCCGGCGCTCACCTTGGTATTGTTATAATAATAGGTACCACCCAACGGGTGGACCAACTCCTGCCAATTCCCGTATGTTGCGGGCCTGTTGATAGCGTTGAGTTGAGATTATTAAGTAGTCACAAAGGCGACCTACCCAGGGTCATCGATTTCTTTTACACGGACCGAGGTATTTTCATATCCATCATCTGCGCTTATGATATGGAGAAAAGGTTATTTGGATTAAAGTATTAGCTAATGGGTGCTCACAGCATTTCTACTTCAGCATACCGTGGAAGTTGAGTTGGCCAGATACCAATACCACGCTCCAGCAATGTCGCCACCTGTTGTTGAGGGCCTCCTGACTGAAATATGACAGCCGACTTAGAACTGTGCACGTCAAAATAATTCAGCATACCATATTATACGGCTTGCGGATTTTTAAAGCGATGGTTGCGTGGTGGTTGCGTGTACTGGTACGTAGTAGCAGTGACTCATTGTGACCTTGCCAACTCAACCGCTTGCTATTACCTTTTTTAGAATTTTTGCTATAGAGCGTATGAGCAACAGTGCTCATCATGCATCAAGCTTCAAGTCTTTTGACTGATTCACACAATGCAGTTTACGCTAACCTGGTCTGCTTCGGCTCTGCCCCATTCATTATGCATTATGATTGAAGTTGTACATAGTATAATTTGAACAATCGGACGGATCCGGCATTGAGCGAAATTGTTTGGCTCTATTTGGTGTGATTTTTACTGATACGTAAGTGTCCTTCTCCGATCACTACTACTGCACAACCGATAAAGCCAAATTAGGAAAATTCACGGTAAGTAATACATACGCTCAGATCTGCTCAGATCTCTCTGATCACATTGACTTAACGTTAGACATGTCTCGCGTGATATACGGACCTCAGATCGGTAATCCTCGCGTAAGTCTTTTCTCAGTGATCTAGCCCAAACTCACATTTAATAGACGCAGCTGGAAATGTTAGCGGCACATATGGTACGTATTTAGCTATGCCGTGTCGCTGCCGCAGAGCCTGATTTCAGCATCCGAGGCGGCCACCGCTCCGCCAGCGCCAGGTCCGATCAAAACATTCATGCGATTCTGTGCCGACGGTTTCGCTCGCATGGTGCAACGCTTGAGATCGGTGATACGGAGGGTGAGTACTGAGTTCTCTGCAATCAATCACACAACTGATACAATGTTCTAGAGATGAACCTGTACTACTACAGGATGCAATACCAAATACCATGCATACCAGTATTACCATCATGATAACACCATAGTACTATCTACTGGAAGTAGTACTCGCCATACCAACTCTCCCCACTAATCATTCATGCACATGTGTATTGGTACCATCTTTCAAATGAAGTCGCAACGACAACAATTCATTTACCACGTAATTAGAACAAGTATAAATACTACTACTACATAATAATATATTGCAATGTCGAGGATTTTTACAATATTCTATTTTCTTGTACTGAGCTGTCACTTCTCGGTGCTAAAATTGATGACGGATCCTCCGAGCATTGAGCTGGAGGGTCCCGCTTGCCCAAACTCACTCGAGCGCTACCTTCGCAGGGTCAATTGACGGTCGGGATGCCCAGTGACGCACATGAAGCTGTTCTCGCACCCCTCACCTATGCATGTACTAAAGCCATTTACCAAATGGGTCACGATAACGCTGTTGTACAAGTTCAGATTGATGGAAAGACTCGCTTGGCAGGAAAGCACATCGCTAGCGACCCTAATATGCATATTGGTATTTCGTCAAATCTCTCAAATACGTCACCCAAATTACCCGTAAATTTGTCATGACGAAGCTGCCCAATCACCGGCTTCAGCTTGAGTCCGAGTTTGACCTCTGTCTCTTCCTAGTTGGAGTGACTAATACCTGGGAGGGGTACTGCGACTTCGTGAAGAATTCTTGTGGCTTGCGTTTCTCATCATCAACGAGAGGTTGCAGTGTGGGAACCTCATGAGAGAGCCAAGCATCCGATTTGAGGTATTCATCATAGATGGCGATGACCTTGGAATGTGACTTCAAAGTCTCCATGGCTACCTGCTTCTTGTAAGCAGTATTTGCCTTCAAGTTCACGAGGAGAATTGCATGAGTGGGAGTCCCCTTTGCGGGCTCCAGGCATGGAAATGTTTTGTCGAATGCAGCCTGATGCTCAGTGGTGACCAAAATGTACCGATGAGCGAAAAGTTCGGCAAGTACAAGAACAAGCTTGTCAAGCGCTTTGCGCCCAACAAACACATCACCATCAACTTGTCGTCTTGAGATGAGGAAAGCCGATTTTGAGTTTGATCCAGTCCCTTGCATCTCCTCAGCCTCGAAGACCTGCTTCATGAGTAGCGACCGAGTGGGAGTATCCAAATTACTCTTCGTGTACATCAAGACGACCCAAAAAACGACGTAAAAACTGGACTCGAGGTCATCTTCGATGGTATGCGCGGCATGTTTGTTTTCGACAAGGTTGGTGGACATGAATTGCCAAGTTCCCTTGGTGACAGGAAACTTAACAAACAAAATATGTATTTTGAGTGTGGAATAAACATACCGTGCGTGTGATTTGTCGAGGACCCTTAATTCTGAGTAACTTTGCAAGATCCCAATCTATGAGGATGCCAATGCCTTCATGCATGACCACATTTCCAGCACTGAGGTCTCGATGTAACACGCCTGCCTTGATACATGCGTCCTCATGGGCTGTGGAGATATAAATATGATGTGTGATGCGAGTTCCAAAACACGCACCAATAAGTGAATCACGAACAGCTTCGACGACTTCACGAGAGCTCATAAAGAGTATCAACGGCTTGCCAACAAGATTGAGAACCAGACGGTAATGAACATGTGGAGTGAGATGGTTATGAGAACACGTCCATGGGGCTTTGTTGAACTTGAACGTTTGTGTGAGTTGCTGAGGGAGGGATGGTACATCATGACATGCAATGCATTTTGCGACATTGCGAACATTGGCGTCCTTCAAGAGTTTGTAAGTTTGACCCTCTGGTAGGATATCGGGCAATGACACCCGCCAAGAGTCCTTGAACATGACAATCTTGTCGTTGACAAGGTCAAATGCAGCACATGTACGCGTCCTATGGCCAACAGGAGAAAGACCACGGGCAACAGGTGCAGGAATGATCAACGTGTATGAACCAACACCCTCAGCAGCAGGGATGGTAACCTTGAACATGCGCGTGTCAAGATGAAGGCTTAACTTCAACCGTGCACGAATGGCCTCCTCGGCGCTAGCGGGCGTCACTGATGTATCAACGCCACGCAATGCAGGCGATGCATGTGAAAACCGATGGAAGAAGTCGGCTAGGTGTGGATATTTGTTGTATTCGAAGGCGCAAGTAACAATGGCTCCCTCCGTGTCCCATCTGATGATGCGAGCGAAATCGCGTATGATCAGGACCGAGAAAGCATGGGTACGGTATTGAGCACCCAGCTGGGCTGCAGCGTAGCTCGTGATTTGTCCTAACGTGTCCATGCCCTTCATGGTCGGGTTGACGCAGGAGGACTTCGAGTCAAGAGGTTCGCGAAAGGCATCATGAATAGTAGCCCACTTCAATTCGACAAGAACCTCTGCGGTAGAAACATCGCAGCCGTGTGATGTTCCATCAGCATATATGCTGATGTCCGGCTTGATACCGAATGAAAATGCTTTAGCAACCCTTGTATCTGCATGGTTGGAAGTATTGACAAATGATAGAGCGGGAGCAAATGATTTCATAGTGCCAATCTGTAACATTGAAGTTAGGCGCTGTCAGCGATCCCAATATGATAGTTATGGAGCACTCACAAACGGTTCATAAGCCAGCACCTCATTTTTGACACAGATTGTGCTATCAAATGCGCCACTCTTGAAGGTTAAAGCGGGCAGATCTGGTATCTTTGAAGTCGGTAGAAACGCCTCGAGAAATTCCTGGACTGGCATTGGGCCAACACAATAGTCTTTCATCTCCGCGCCCATGGTATTGACTGTGAGATTCCGGTAACATGCATTGGTTGTCCAGGGGAACTTTGTGGAACTACCGTGTTTGAAAGGAGTGTCGGTGATAGCAGGAGTAAGCTGGGTGTTTTGAAAATCCTTGGCAGGAGACTTTGGGGATGTCTGAAATATGCTTGATGTAGTGGTTTTGCTCTCGTCGATAAACACCTCCGGTGCAAAAGACTCGTACATCGTGTTTGTAGATCGTAAATATGGTATTACAGTACCTGGTATCTTGCTAGTGATCTATGAAATGATGACGGCCAATTCCGGCGGCAAACCCCGCACGATGAAATAGAAAGTTTGAAGTGCTTCATTATGTAGTGAATCGAAGTCAGCCGGGTATTCCCGAAATAAACAAGCGGTCTGCAGTATGTATCATAGGCTCTTTGTATGGATGATGTTGCGGAAGAATGATCTGGGGAGAAGAAAGACATTCCACGTTGTGTTAATGAAGTTCAGAATGATTTACATGAGCGCTGCAAGTATAGATCAGATAATTTAAGCACAGACCTTCCCAAGTATGTAATTGCATTACTCCAGGATGATCCGACGTATCCCAATATTGAGGTTGAGAAATAGTAGTAAACTCTCGGAGGGACTGTACCTATAGATGTTCTCATATAGATTGAGAATGATCATGAGCGCAACCCTATAGCGCAATATGGCCTAGCTAAAGATGCAATGAATATCAGCGTATTTCCCATGGTATGTTCCTGGCTCCTATGTATCTATATAACATGAACTGTAACATGAACCATGCATAACACTTGAGCTTGAGTCATCATACATTGATTGTAATAATATTCTAATTGTAAGCCAAGAGCTATGCGCCAGGGTACCTGTACGTAGCTAGATGTATGTAGATGGTGGAAGAGGAGAAAGGAGGACAACAGATGGATTTCGGGGTTTAAATGGTGAGCCGGATATTCCCGGTTGAGTTTGTCGTCCATTGTAGAATCTACTTAGGTGAAGAATCCAGCACGAAGACGAGGACGGACGAAATTACAACATGCCCTACGAACCTTGCAAGAAGAAGGCACCAAGAAAGAGGAGGATGCTGCCATGGAGCGCATGCGAGATGCTTATGAGCAGTGCTGTTGCATATGTACCTCCTGGACAAGAGAAGCGTCATTGGTTTTGGCCTCATGAGTATGCTTTGTTCGAGGAGATCGAAACCAAGGTCTTTTCATTTCTATACAGACCACTTGTTCACCCTGACATTATTCTACAGGACTATGACCGTGCACACTGCATGCCAAGTAAATTTCACAGTTCTGAACCTTGTGCCGCACAAGCAGTGTACTTTCGCAAAACTGTGTCATGGCTGCGAGGTTTGAGATCAGGCGGCTGGATTTGGTGGCAGCGCGCAAAATTCTCGGGGACTGGTCATCGGCATGTGCCCGAACGATGCTTTATTCAAGGTTTGTATTCAACTCAAGATTTATGATCTTCGATTTCTCGTCTTTGCGATATACTGATATCATATTAAGCTGCGATAATTTCATCCCGTGCGGACATTATACGAGAAGTATCTTGAGGTATGTCATGAAAGTATGTTTCATTCCTCGACAGTGATAGAACATCTTCCACAGTACGATCCCACCAACTCAGCAGCGTAGGTTGAATATGCTGAACTCGAGACGGCTCTCGAGGACTTCACCTGTGCAGAGGCTATCTTTGAACTTGGAGTGTCTCAAGCATCGCTATCGATGCCCGAAATCCTTTGGAAGTATATCGACTTCGAAGTCGATGAGCAGGGTGACCGGGAGAAGACGAGATCACTTTACGAGCGCCTGGTGGTCCTCAGCGGACACCACAAGGTGTGTATATCATATGCCGAGTTCGAGAGACCAAGAATTCCCATACCCAGAGCTCTGCAAGAGGAAGAGGAAGACGAGGAATGCCGAACCTCGTGTTGTCGCCTGTGATCCCCAGTGAGAACTGGACCTCACCGTATCAACGGAAAACGACGGAAATATTGGCAAGTTCCGAGCACGAGATTTCCGTAGATGACCGTCGAAAATGGGACTCATAGTCGATTTTCTAGCGACGCTAATCGACCAAGATATCACCATTTCGCGTCGATTCTCGTATACGAGATTAGCGTAGATTAGCGTAGATCCTTAATTGTATTCACACTGCACAATAAAACAACGGAAATCGCACGAAAACGATGCTGATATGCATTGCAAGCAAATGAATAATAGCTATAAAAACAATACCCACTACTCGTACTACTAGGTGCCGATTAATATAGTGCACCGCTGGAGAATCTATTGATGATGTCGACAGTATTTCTGTTCCATATGTCGTCGCTGACCAGCTTCAGCGCATCAGTCTCGTATGCCTAAAACATATATCAGCGCCGTGAAACATGTATCGCTAGAGCACGTACCAATTGCTTGTCCTTTGTCAAGCCGGACCAGTAGATCCTGAAGTCCGCCGACGAGCCGTTTGTAGTAGCGATCTGCTTCAACCAGCGGTGCGCACAGAGTGACCTAGTAAATACAAGTTAGCTCTCGTTGCAGCCTTTTGACAAGCTACGCACCTTCCGTTCTTGGATGTGCCAGGTCGAAATCGTTTGCCACTTATGGACTCAACAATGGCTGACGTGGAGGGTGCAGTAGGTGGCAAAGTGGATGCGGATGATGAGGTGGACACGGAGGGTGGAGGAGCTACAGGGTTGGGGACAACAGATTGATGTTTTTGCCCCGCAAGCTTTGCGCTACATATCCTGAGTCAGCGCCAGCTCGAAAGATGGTTTTGCGGACTTACAGAGGGTTTTTTATTATTGGGAACGAAATCTCGCACTAGTACTAATGTCAGTACATAGTAATTCAAGCACAGTAAGTGACTTACCGTGGCCTTGGCACCACTACTAGTATCTTGAGGGGTCGAATTGGCTGTGTTTGCATGGGATGAGGCTTCTGGAGATTCGTTCGAATCATCGGCGCTAATCAATGAGATACAGGGCACAGGAAGAGACAACGTAGTCGACACTTCAATACATGGTGGCTGTGGTGGATCATTGGACCGTCGCTCCAGCTCAGAAGTGCCAATATCGCTTTTTGAACCATTCTGCAGATCGAGGGCGGGAGTCACGGTAGCATCTTTTGGCAGGGTGTCCTGTTTCACCTTCAAGGGCTCGGAGAGGGAATCAGTAGGCTCGTTAGCAGTGATTTGAGACTTCGATCCATCTGACTCGGGATCGGTAGACCCAGATACATTCCGTCGTTTCGATGAGTCACGATCGTTACAGTCGAATCCTGTGGCATGGACCTTCCTTTTTTTCTTGTCCAGGTGTGTAGCCGTCCACGAGGGATACCGCTCTGTTGCGATCGCATGTACCTTCCACCCGTTTTCGCATAAGGCAAGAATAGGGTGTAGACGAGCCATCTCCTCTGCGACCTCATCAAGGATCTTGTTTCCGGCCTTGCCCCAGGTATTGGGGGCTCGATTCTCTTGCTTTAAGGCAGCCCAACAGCTTCATAAGCTCTTCATGATGCGAGATATCTCAGACTTCTCGATCGGCTCGCCATCTGTATTTTCGAGAAAGGGAAAGGTTCCGTGATCCATGTATTGCGCACTGGGTGACTTCTTCCATGCTTCATACAGGCTAGGAGTCCAAAATTTTGTCTTCGGGTAGTCGTTCTGGCGAAGGGGCTCGGAACGTCGAAAAGAGGGTTTGTAGACAGTAGATTTGAGGCCAGGTGGGATCCCATCGAACTTTGTAATATCCGAGTCGCATATATCGAGGGAAATCGAGGCTGCAAGTATCTTGAAGGCATTTCTGTAGCGGTATCAGGTACAGTGAAAGATACATGTAAAATACATACTTGTATGCATCTTGAGAGGCCAATAATACATTGTTCTGCTGTTTAAGAGTCTCGTTTTCGCTCGCCAGAGCTTGAATCTGTTGATGCATGCGCATATATGCAGCCTCGTATGTTTATTCAGTTAGCACATTGAATACATTAGCATATACTCACTGTTCCGTCATCGTATGCTGAAGTATGACCAGATTTCGTGGATTTCGATTGTACGGCTGAGCAAGGTAGCTCTGGGCTATCTAGAAATGGTGATGGTGAATCCCCCCTCCCGCCGTGAGTACGCCAAGAAAATTGAGGCCAAAGATATGGGGTATCATTCTCATTGAAGTTTGGTTGAAAGGGCTTCGGATATGGGGCTATTGTTACGATGCTGGGGAATATCTGAAAATAAAAACTCGTTGGGTGCAATGGAAGTCATGATGGTGTTGGTATAAAGGGATAGCGATATCTGCAGAAGCATGGTGACGATGTTTCATCAATATCACGTGTCATCACGTATGTCACGTGACTATACAACTGACCGGCCAAAATTTTAGTTCGTTTTACTTACTACTTTCTATGTACATGTACACATGTACGACTTGTTCAGCTCCGGTGTAGAGAGTGATATCTCTACAGGCTCGTATTCCCCTATTCCACCATCGCCCTCATCACTATCCTTAGACAAGCGCAAGCCTATAGAGTCGCAAAGGGCTTGCGCGGCCACTCGCGCTTTACCGCATAGCGCGCGCTACACGCGCACCCCTTTCTGCATAGAGGCGCTATACTCGGCACATCCTCCCATGTCTTCCCATGTCCTGTCTCGTCTATCCGGCTCCGTTGGTGCGTATTCCCACTCTTATTACCATCGCTGACCACATCCAGGGTCTCTTACACATAGCATTACATACATCCGCTTCCCTTACGCTTCCGCGCTACCTATCCGCTTCCCTTACGTCTCAATACCCTGAGAGCGCGCGTAACGACTTACATATCTAGAGGACTCAGAGGTTTCGGCACTGATACTTACTTTCCCTTACTTGGACTCAGCATTTGTTTTTCGGTCGGATTGAGCTCCAAGCTCTAATATCATCACTGTTATTGTTTATCATCTCTGGGGCAAGTCTAAGACTCGATTCCATACTCTCCGAAGCATTCCAACTGTCAGCCGCCGCCTATTTCCTTATCTTGCGCATCCTGCGCTTCAGTGGTCCTCTTCCACATTACCGCGCGGCCCTAGTGCGTTCTTGCGCTTCCAGCGCTTCCATCGCGCATCTCCCGCGCGCCCCTTTGCATCTCTTAGGCTCAAGCCGTCTCTTTGATCCCTCTCATTATTTGAGAGACTGCCTCAGTAGAATCCCCTAAGGGACGAATCTATTAGCTCGCCTCTCGAGGTAGATATCCTTGTGACTCCACGGAGTTCGCATCTCTATTTTCCTCACCCACACCGGACTGGCGGTAACACATATAGTGCGGCTTGGAAGCCAGCACGGATGCCAATAGTCCGGGAGTAACAAGTTGTACTAGTACAGTACCAGAACCATCAAAATACACGCACTCTGCCAGTACTCTCACATCAAGTCTTATAGTGCAGAGCATGCAGATTTGCCTAGCACTGGTTCAATTGGCATTGGCTCCCGCCCCATACACTGTTCTCACTTCGGGCGCCCTCATAATTGTTGGAACCTTGCTGGTACGAATTCCTAACCCTAACCTTAAGCTTGCTCACGCTGACCAACACATCATTTGGTCGTGCACAACAGCAAATTTGACTACCGTTCAGCACAAGGTACTAGTCAGAGGTACTCGGTACGTTTCGAAGACCGCACCAAGGTAAGCTGCACCACCATGCACACAACTCGTTTTGTGTTGTACTGACCCCATCCTCATATCACACGCTCAAAATCACAAGGATTCAACCCTCTCCCGTCGAAATTGAGAACACGATCCTGGTGCAGCTCGACAAGTTCATTACTGATGTGACCGTCGCGGGCATTTTGGGTGGACGTACCTCCGACGAACGCATCCCGCGGGCATGGATCATGCTATCCCCAGCACAGCGCTGGGTTGATTGCATGAGGCCAGAAGCAGACCTGGCTGTTACCCGTGTGCAGCAACAACACAACGTTTTCCGTGGTGGTCATCAGCACTCTGCCTCAGACCCTTCCGCTCTGCGAGATGCTGCTACATCGTGAGGAGATCGAAGTCGCTGGGTTCATCGAGACGGACGAGGAGTGTGTGCGCGAGTCTGTGCACTAACAGGGACGAGAGATATGTGTGGATGGATGGATGGAGGAGAGTGAGGGCGGGAAGCAGAGTTGTGTGTGGGATCTAATATCTGCACTCGTGGAGCGGGGACGGCTGGGGTACAGGGAAGAGAGGGTAAGTCTCTAGTGGAACAGCTTCACAAACGGTCAGTGTTGCTGCCTCGAGTAAGGATTTTTGATTGTCAGCTGTGGCGGACCCTAACGCCCTCTTCGATGTGACTGCTCACATTTTCGAACCACTGGTTTTTTAATGTTGTTGGTCCCTTGATCAACTCGAACGATAGGCGTAATCTCTCACGAGAGGCATGCCCATGCCAGAAGCAATTCCGCGTCCTTACAGGCATCAAAGCCTCATCCGACTTGCCCACACAAGTCTTCTCATCCTACCTACCAGTCGGTGCTCGCCGTTTCGTGATGCTATCTCCACCGACTTGCCCACACACATGTTCACAGTCTTCTCATCCCACGTACCATGGCTAGGGGGGCATATCATCGTGGCGGAGGTAGAACAATTAGGGGACGGCGCATTGACCACATGATATGAAGTGTACAACTTCTTCATAATGCATACTAGTACTCTGCTACAAGTCCTCCGGGTGATCTTCTTCGACTTCAACGCCAGTAAGTGTAACATCAAGCCCAGCTTTCTCCACCATGAAAAATCTGTCTTCGGTGATACCAGAAGGTAGAGTAGGGCGATGTGGGATCATGGCAACAACAGCCGTGATTGTTTTAACATTGATGATTTGCAGGCCGTTGTTACCTTCATGAGTGCACAACCATAATGTTCCATGGGAGAACTCGAGAAGCTCCGCATCTGGTGGGGAGTAAACAGAAATAAGGGCAACATTTTCCCATCGGAGACGATGTCGCTCTTCCATGTCGTATAATTCGTCGTCACCATCTTCTGGTTCGTCGTCCTCTACTGCAAGTTGCGTGAAGTACTGAACTTCTCCGAAGCGATCTATACCATCAACATGGAACTATAATATATTGCATTGTCAGGCAGTCTAGTACATCTACAGTGGGAATCAGTACCTTGACATTGCGAGACATGCGGACATTCTCGGCATAGGACTCTTTTTCTTTCCAAGCCGATCGGGCAATTTGGCCGTTAGGAAGCCGAAGACGTGACCACCTTCTGAATTTTGGTGCGGGACGACGTAGGAAGTCTGAAATAACCGCAGCTTCGAGACGAGGAGCCTGTCGAGGCTTTTTATCCCAACCACGAAGCAAAATATAACCATCACCAACATTGAATGAGCCATGCGGATGTAGAGTGTTGTCTGTGTCAAACTGCGGGAGGATGGCCTTAAGGGCATTTGTCTGACAGCGAAGAACACAGATCTCCGTGAAGTTGGCCATAGCGTTGGATGGTTGGCGTAAATCAAACTCTATGTCCCCGATTGTCCGCTCAAGAGGCCACTGAGATGAGCAACTGGGAGCACCAACACGGGTTGCCTCTTGTGCAATGTGATTAGATAGATGGACGCATGGTCGAATAAGTTGGATCCGATCGACGCGGCGCTGGTAATACATTTCTTCCATCTCCCGCTCCCACTCGGCAAAGGAAACACAGGCATCTACCACTTCTGCGGGTGTGATACGATATTGACTCATAATGCGGAGGCCACGTATGAATTTACAATAGTGTCGGAAGTACTTGTCAGGAAGGACACGATAGAACAATCCAGGGCCTATACCAAAGAGCCAGGTGATGAACTCGCGTGATTTGTAGAAGGAATTTATTTTCTCGACGGGATTTCGTGGGAGAACATCGAATGAACCAGGGAGGTATGGGTGAGTGGCAGCAACTGCCTTTCCGTGAGCCTCCCAAACATCGTCAATAAGGACCGCCCAGTCCCAGTTTTCGAGGGAATCAGTGACCGGATGACAGTCTGCGATGCCGCGCCAGAGATCCGTGTAGAGTGATGCCATATTAGCACCTGAGAAGTGCATTATTTCGGAGGAGAAGCATTCAGGGATACCCAAAATGTGGTCCAGTTCGAGTCCGAGGAGGATGCTAGGACCAACAATGCCGGTCTCCAAGCGGTTTCGTTCATATTGCGCCCGATTATGAGACGCCATAATGATACGGAGATTCTCAACGTAGTGTTCAGAGGTGCCTTGTGGAAGATTGGTGACGTCGACGTCATCATGTGTGCAACCAGTGACAGTGTAATTGTTTGGTTTGAGTAAGACAGGGTAGTATTGAGAGGCGTGCGGCTTGCGTCGTCCTTTCAGACCACAGTACATACGACAACCACTCTTTCCTGTGTGTCCGACGAGGCTGCTCATGCAGAGAAGGCCAGGGCCATCGGCGAGTGCGAGAAACAGAAAAGGATGGGATATAAAGACAACATCACTCCAGGCATCCCAGATACGCAGACCTGCTCTTTGAATTGAGGCGAGATGATGAAAGCCGTGATACAAGAACGATTGGATGTACTTGGGCTTGTTTGGACCGGGAATGACACCACGGGGAAGTACGTGCTTTTTCTTGTAACGGCGGTCAGGAGAGTGGTCGACGATAATCCAAATATAAATCCAGCAATCGGACATCTTGCTTTCATAGAGTTGGGCACCGTCGATGGAGATCATCAGAACCATATCTCCAGGTTTGATTCTCCCCACTCTGACGGCATCAAGATAAGCACTCCCGGTGAGAATATCATCATACGCATCAACAAAACCATCGTTCCGACGAATCTCGTCGAATATTTGTTGTGTTCGCTCATTCCTGTACCTCATACGTTGTGCGCTCCCTTGTTCGCGCCACAATGCCTGGAGTTGGGGACCAATTGGAATGGTCTGGAACACCGCGCGAGGAACTTTTAGCCGACCATGGCTGCGTTCGAGCTTTTTCTCATTGTAACGAGCTTCTCCACATGTTGGACAGGCATCAAGGTCTGCCCAAGGGCCAACGAAGGCTCCACAGGAATTGATACATCTGTGGTCAATGATAGACTTGATACCGGTGAGATCTGCGATCATCTTCTTGACACTGTGAAGGCTTGGGACTTCTGAATCAGGATACCGTTTTTTGACTGCAGCTCGGATGTTCGAGTATGCTGCTTCAGATGAATGCTCGAGGGCTAAAAACATCGAGATGGCAAGTTCGTCGCATGGATTTTCAATGCGGCATGGTGTTTGTGGTGGATTTCGTAACCGCTCTAGATCATCTCCAGTCAACCCCACTTCATCGTCGAGAGATGCTCGTTGGAGAGCACAGACAAACTCCATGTCACGCTGAAGGTGCGGAAGCCGAGCAGACTGCAGGAGCTGATCAAAGTCAAGTGCTTTCAGAGGGTTTTGCCATGGGGGCAGGGGAGGGTCGTCTGGAGGAATGCGAGGCTCGTCTGGGGGAAGGCGAGGCTCCTCTGGGAGAAGTGGAGGCTCGTTTGGAGGAAGGCGAGGCTCCTCTGGGGGAAGGCGAGGCTCCTCTGGGGGAAGGCGAGGCTCGTCTAGGGGAAGGCGAGGCTCCTCTGGGGGAAGGCGAGGCTCGTCTAGGGGAAGGCGAGGCTCGTCTAGGGGGAGGCGAGGCTCGTCTGGGGCAAGTGGAGGCTTGTTTGGAGGAAGGCGAGGCTCCTCTGGGGGACCACTAAGATCAGAGTTGTCGGGTCGAAAATTTTCGAAATCCACCTGAATAATGAGATCACTTTGCAGCTGTAGCATTAAAGAATCAAATTAAGTACCTCTGCATCATCACGCATACGTTTTCGAGGTGGGTTATCCAAATCATCAAAGTCACGATGATCGTTTGGTTGCTTTGACGAAGATGGCCCAGCCGGCAGAGCTACTGATGTGCGAAACCTATCTGAAAGATGTGCTGCTCGTATCTCAGTTTTTTCTTCTGCTGTGGAAGCCTTTTGCAAGTGCCGGTACCACGCAGATCGAGAACGTAGATTTGTCCGCAATCCATGGCAATAGAACTGGCAGACACACCAGTACTCGGTGCTATCTTGCTCCCTTGGCATAAGTACTGGTAGTCGAGGATTTTGACAAGAACATATTCATATTACGACGGTAGCTACACACGATGCGCCGATCAAATGATTGATTGATCTGCGAATGTGCAAGACATTGACATATTGGTGTGTTTGTTGTGTGTTTGCTCAACACAACGCGTGTCAACTTACTCAACATATGGTAAATTCACGATTTGCGTAGCTTCGACAATATTTGTACATATATCCGTCGTTTCGCGTCGATACGGTGAGGTCCGGTTTTCACTGGGTGTGATCCCTAACTAGCACAACAAGTCTTTGAAACCACGCTCCAAGATTTGAAGGCCAAGGGCCTAAAAGCAGAGGTACAGATGGCAGCTTTATGATCGGGTTGGAGCTGAACCGCTTTCCTCACATAGTGGTTGCTTTGCTCGATTCATGGAAGGCATTTGTGCAAGAAAACTTGAAACGGATGTACTGATGGGCCTCACCGCTGAACTTCACCTTGAACATGCCCTTCAGCCCGTCAGCGCAACAATCGGAGCAAAGCGAGTCCCAACGTGCGAAGCACGTCACTTGGGACCATACGTCACGCTGCCGAAATGGAGGCAGCATTCACTGCCCACGCGATCCACACACTCCAGCCGTAGTTGTAGTATTAGACCTACATATTATGGCAACTACCATTCTTACCATAGACACTTTTGACGGCAATTACCAGCAGCGCAATTTGACCTAATCCATGGCATTTGTCAGGCCCTATTTTGCTGGGTGTTTTGGCTTTCACAGCCGCATTTTTTGGATTTTTGAAACTCAGCTATGTTTTCAGTCACAAATGTGTTTTCCACATTTGTCAGATGTTTTGGTATGTTTTATTCCGCAATTTTGGCCTCCAAAAGCGGAAATTCACAAAACACATCCTGTTTTGGTCACCTCCTCATGTCAGGCCTCCCCACATTATTCCCACACTCCGCATTTTCGCATTTTTAGCCACCTACTGTGGGAATTACCCCACAACACCCAAAACATCATCCCAATATGGTATACCACATAATTATAATTATTCCCACACCCTCCCCACCTCACTGCAGCTTCACCACTACACCACAATAGGTCCCCCCTTGTATCTAAGTAGTAGTTTGGTATATACATGTATAATATTATATAATAGACCGCTTTTTTTGTCAATTTGTGTGCCTGCTCATCCTCCAGGGCCTTTTTCAAACAGGGTAGGGTACAGAACATTTTCGCATTTTTGCCCCTTTGATAGGGGGGTGTTCCAGGACATTCAGAACATATTTATGAGCATATATGAGTAGATTCCCATCTTTATTTCACCCCCTGAAGTGTCCTACATCAATAGATATAGCACATATGCAAGAAAACACAGAATATGTTCTCATGTGATTATTTCTAGGTGAAGAGCCTTGCAAAAATGATTCCCAGCATCTATTTAACAATAGGAACAATGTATCAGGAGCCCAGGACCATAGGATAATTCCCTGTTGCATGGTGTGCCCCCCCTCTCCTGGTGGTTTACCCCCTGTGAAAATTTTTCCTGTAGGACCGGACCTCAATTGAGGTAGGGGGTCTATTCTTATGTATATTTGAGGTAAGTCTATCATATAGCTGGCCCAGGACACACATAGGATCCTGCTACAGGAACAAAAACATAGAAAATCGCATTTTTGACACTTTTGATTTTCTTAGTCCCTTACACTTGCGCAAATGACCAGGCTTGCTCATATATGATCAGTAGTACATTCACAAATATGTTTGTGCCAAGGATCAGCCCTACATAGGGTGCAAATGTGATATATGATGTACAGGGGCTTTTTCTACTGATAAGAAGCCTACATAGTAATCAAGCCTGTGATAAGTAATCAAAGACCTTGGACATGTCCTATATATGCCCCTGATGATAGATTTGAAGATTTAGAAAGATCCATCAAGGACTGACTGAATGACAAGTAAAACCACATATGTGTGAAAAGTGACAATTGACATCTTTTCACACAAAGTTACATTTATATATGATACAGGTCAAATATTTCATTAACAATATGTAGGATACATTGTAGACTACTAAAGGAACATATACTACATACTGCCCTGAGGTTGAAGGGTGGTGGAAGGGATGTGGTGTATATCTGAGTTGACCTAGCATTAAAATGCTACTATTGGGTGACTTCCCGCAGTGTTCAGAACACTGTTCTAGTTCTAAACGTAGTTCTAAACCGCTCCTGCCGACGTGCCGCTGTCAAACGTCAGTGTTTTGCAAGTCCGCACGTCAAACTGACCCAGTTCTAGATTGATATGTAGAAGGGGGGGTAAGACCCCCTTTCTAGATTCAAATCGTGTTCTAAACGTGTTCTAAATCACATTCAAACTCCGTGGCGGTGTCGCAAACGTCTGGTACGATGGACACTTGCTTAGATCTTTGCACGAACATTAACGACACGCAACCAATCTCACATTTCCAGGGCAAAATGCATGTCTGCTGCCATCTCAGCTGTCCAAAAGACAAATTTTCACTCGTGTAAGTTCCTGTTGCATATATGAGTAGGAAATTTTCGTTGATGATCCATATAATCCAGGGCACATCTTGTCGTCTCGATAACCATAAAGACAGACACATATCTGACCTTCTTGTGTGGTATTTCAGGTAACCGTTCCCGCGCTATGCGTGTCTATCACCCACCACCTCAACCTGCCCCTACAGACAATATTTTCACGTATCAGGCTGGTGAACCTCCGAACATGGGTCCGAACCATCCAAATAACCAGGTATATTCGGTTCTGTTCATTTTAATCAATGTCCTTATTGGTGTTTTCACTTCACAGCTTCCTGGCTTTAGTGCTGCCTTTGGCGGGCTTGATTCTCGCATGATACCCCAGGGTCCTGGCCAGGTATGTCTCCGAGTCCCGAATTCACATTTTGCAAACTGACGTGTCCTATAGAATCAATATACATATCCACCACCTCTCCCTCCTCCATCATACCCAACTCCTGCGAGGCAGCACATTGACCCTTCGTTAATGGACTACGACAACGAGGATGACGAGGATGAATTCCCACCTGTGTCCACCCTGCTTGAGCATGCTGCCAAGCCAGCGAAAAAGATCACAGGGAGCCGTCGCACGAGCACTGTTATTACTACTGCCAAAGCTAAAGGCAAGGCACGTGCCATCGACAATACTGGACCGCTGGTAAATCGAAAGCGAAAAACCCTGTCCGCACCTCCCACTGCCTCCGACTCATCTAAGAAACGTGGCCGTCAACAGGGAGCACCAAATTATAACGAAGATGACATTGATGCTCTACTCGATGCGTGCGAATCGTGTTTGCCTGTGGGTGCAAAGAGTTGGAATATTGTTGAAGCCACCTTTGCACGGTGGGCGAATGACAATGACCGTCCAGCTCGCTCGTCCAAGTCTCTCGAACTCAAATTCAAGCAAGTAAGTCTTCTTTCACACATTGTTGGCCATTGACCTAATGAATTATTTGAAGTTTGTTCGAACAACGAAGCCAACAGGGGATGCAGAATGTCCTCCTTACATTGACCGAGCACATTACATCGACACTTTGATTAACGAGAAAGCTGGGACTCGTGATCTTGATGACGAAGAACTTGCTGATGAAGTTGTTGAAATCTCGGATGACGACGACGACGACGACCCAACAGTGTCAGCCCTTTCGAAGACCAAGCCAACTCAAATCAAGCACGAGGCCCAAGAGCCTCGTCTTGGGCCTGCTGCTCGCCGTGCGACATCCCCTGTTATTTCCCGTTGTAGGAGACGATCTGGCTGCAGCCCCGTACAGCACCATTTCCCCTTACTGGACGAAGTCACGCATACCTTCCACAGGCCGTTGCGGACCATCACACGAGGTTGCGGAATCCATGCACTCATCGCATCGCAACGCACTATCCGTCCATGTCCTGTCTGCATCCGTCCGTCCTCACTGGTGCGTTCTCATCCTTAGTTAGTCATTCCTAACCGTTCGCAGGACCAGTTACATATCAGTTCCCATGCACGAGGTCGCATAGTGCTACTTACATATTATCTCCCTCCGACTTCGCGTACATATGCGCCTGCTTATACGGTTCCGGTTTCTTACGGACTCTGTTATATACTACGTCGCAGACTCGTATGGACGGCACTTTCCTACATTCCCTCTCTGGTTGTGTGTTGCGGAGTCACTAGCTTAGTCTTACCTTGTCTTTCCTTGCTTGAGCAATTATCTGTTTGCCCTCTCATCCCGTGCGAACGCTCGCATCGTCATCGACAGTTGGCTATTGCTAGACTCAGTTGAGTTCACTCGCAAGACAGTCCCGTTGCGTCCTGCATATACCTGGTACCTTACTCGTTTTACCTGTTTACCTGTCCTGATACCTGGTACCTTCCCTGTCTCGCATACCTGGTATTCCCTAGACTTCGCATCCGCATACTCCGCATCCCCGCGCATCCGCACCCTTCTACGCATCCTCCCGCAAGCAGCTGTTCTGTCTCCAGCGCATCACTTCCTCCTTCACTGTTCCCCTCGCTCATACTTGAGGAACTGCTCTCCGAGCTATCCCCTTGGGTCGATTACTATTCTCGCACCCAGCAGGATCGGTACGCTATCACTATAGCGGACTTCTACGATTTCTCCCACAACTGGAGCCCACCGCGAGGGGATTATAGCCGAGAAAGTTGGAAGATCGCTGAGACAAACACCGGCCCGCATTGCGAAGCAGAAACTAGCATCTATTAGCCTCGACCAAGAAAGCTTCTTCGCGCCAATCCCAGAAGAAGAGGACCATCCACAACCCGGACCATCGAGATCGCATCCGCAATCTCAATCCTCAGACGACGAACCTCTGTGTCTCACCCCGGACTCTCCGCTTTCAGAAGAAGAGAAAGATACTGTAGACGAGCTACTTCCGTTTTTCCCCGGATCATTCAACTTCCCCACAGACAAGCCATCCCACGCACTAGACACTCCCTCTACCGCTACCTCCCTTACCTCATCTAGTAATCCTACCCGTGCTCATACACCCGAACTTCCGCGCTTAACGCTACCCGTTATCTCCTTACCTCTTTCGTCTCCTCGTAATCGCTTAGAATCCCTTCCCCATTTCGCTCCTTCTCCGCAGAAGCTACCCACGATATCCCTTCTGATTCTGTCTGTTCCACGTATCCCTATTCCTCCCGTAGTACCTATTACCATCGTCCCAGTACCTTCCGCTCCGACCGCAACCATGTCAACTAACACTTTCAGGATGCCTCTCAGGGGTACGGACAAGGCACCCAAGTTCGAAGGCGCTCCAGACAAACTCCTGGAATTCATCGAAGATGTCAATGAGCTCGCAGATTTGGCCCAGGTAGTTGATGCCGCGCGTATCAAAGCGGCGATGCGATATGCATCCTCAGAAGAATCGGAGACTTGGGCACTACTCGACGAGGCCGCAGGTAATGATTGGGACAAGTTCATCAAAGCTGTCAAAGCATTGTATCCGGGTTGCGAAGGCGATAGACGCTTCACCCGCGCTGACCTTACACAGTTATCCGCAGAGCAATCCCGTCTGCCTATCAATTCACAAGCGGAACTCGGGGTATACTACCGGAAGTTCTTCAAGATATCCAAGTTCCTACTCACGAACAAGAAGCTGTCGGAACTCGAACGCGACCAACTCTTCCAAGATGGATTCCATGCAGACGTAGGCGCCCACCTCAGACATCGACTCAGTATACTGCACACCAACCTACACCCCGGAGAACCGTACCCAATCGACAAAGTCTACGAGGCCGCAGTATTCCTGCTACCAGGAACATCCGCAGTATCGATTCCAGCACCAGCGCAACCATCCGCTCGCACTTCATATGCACCTCAACCGCAGCAATATGTTCCGTCCACGCAACCACGCCCGCAACCAAGCCCAGGAGTGGTAGTCAAACAGGAGTATACGACGCAGAGAGCCCAGGGCCCATGCCATTTCTGCGGAGGAGCTGACCACTACCAACGATGGTGCAGGACACGCGACCAGTATATTCGCGACGGCAAGTGTGGAGAAGATGAAGGAGGACGACTTGTGATGTCCGATGGTAGAGGTATTCCAGGACATCGGGACAGCGGCACTTACCAGGAGCGCATCGATCGCTTCCTATCGCAGACCCCCGCAACCGGTGCCAATGCAACCGTGATCGCAGGGCTATACTGTCGTGCTCAACCAAGGATACAAGTAGAGACTGACATCAACGCATCAGCGTACTCGCTCACGCGCGCCACGGAAGAGGCAGAGCCTGATGAGGAACTCAAGAAGTTAGAAGACGCAGCTATCGCAGCCTGTACGGCGTATGCTAACACCCGGGCACGCAAGTCAGACCCGAAGGGTAAGAACGTCCGTTTTGAAGGAGTAGAGCTACCCACGCGTCCCCAAACCCGGGCCCTCATCCAGAATAGCGCCAACTGAAGAGATTGTATCGCCTCAGGTCAAGGAAGCTACCACCAGGCCAGCACCTAATCCTGCGACAGTTCCAAAAGCCACCGCTACTACGGGAAACGCTGCTGCTTCATCTGTCCACGCCCGCGACTAACACTAACCCCTCCGCGAAGTTTAGGTACGGGTTTCCCATTGGAGGACAAGCACGCGGAAAAGCGAGTCGTGGACCGCATGCTAGACTCAAACGTCAATGTGCCCATACGGGAACTGATGGCAGTCTCACCCGACATCCGCAAGGTATTCAGGGGACCTCATCACCCCGAAGCGAGTCATGGAAGGTATGGTATCGGTCAACGAGTTGACCTCGCGTTCCGAGATCGAAGCATTCGTACGAAAGTATGATCACTGTCTCCCGCGAGCAGATGACGGGCGCATCGTATCTGAACATTTCGAAGCGTTGCGGATGTATCAAAGCGACCTTGAAGGGAGGGCGGGTTCTTTCTTGCATCCTAGACCAGGGCGCTGAATGCATCGTGATGCCAAGGAGAGTATGGAAAAGCCTCGGATCGGAAGTACTGCGTTCGGATCACAAGCTAACCATGGAATCAGGTCAATACTTCCACAGATTGCACGCTCGGTGTCATCGAAAACCTTGCGTTAGATTTCGGTACAGGAGAAATGTGGTTCCAAGTACAGGTAATCGAATCCGCACACTTCGACATACTCCTCGGCCGACCATTCTTCACGCTTACGAGCTGCCGTACCGAAGACCTTCCCAACGGAGAAACAGGACATTACGCTTACGGATCCTAACAGTCGCAAGGAAATTCGCATCGCCACGGAATCTTGGGTCAAGTTTCTGCCCCCTGGATGCAAACAAGACGAGGCCTGCTCAGACCATCCGCGACGACAGGGTTTTTAAGGGTCGATGATCCGCCATCACGGCGAGGAGATTCCGATAACTCGCAATTGTCACCTGCATCATTTGTATCATCATCCGCACAGCTAACCCGACCCCCCATCGCCCGTTGAGATCGACGTTACATTCATTCGTTCGGAACCTGACCTGTATACTCACCTTTGTCTCCACTTGCTCCCGGTAACATAGAGTCCCACTAATGCGATTCGGATTACTGTATATTTCTTCGACCATGCAAGACGCGCATTGGTCTACAAACCGGGTATAGCGAAGAAAGTACGCCCCACTGGTACAAGACCTCCCTGCCCGCAGAATATTCGGCATTCACCAGGCAACTGCCAGAGGTTGATCCCTTGGGAGGTTTACCGCCTGGTTACCCCTACTCAACCCACCCGAAATTCCTTCCAGGTCACTCGCTTCACGCAAGAACGTGCGGAAAAAACTCCACCTTCGACCCAGCGAATTGTGCTTATGGGCCAGAGGAGCTGAAGTTAATTAGGTGGTTAGTATTCACGCTACGAAACTCGCCCCCTTTCGCATGGGCACGCATCGGAAGAGGACGGCTTCTTACGAGGCATACTTCCGCTCTTTTACAAGATTCCGACGATTCCACCATACGCCAGGGTCACCAACGCAACATCCCTAACTACCGCCTTCGAACTCAATGAAGTAATCCGGATCATAAAGGCGAAGATCGACTCAGGAGTCTACGAGCGTCCACCGCAGCTTACCGCTCGCGATGGTTCGCGTCACGAAGAAGGATGGGTAAATCCCTGCGTTTGATCCACGACCTGCAACCGTTTGAACAAGGTTACTAACGAGACTCATCCTTGCCCCCATTCGTCGAACATCTAGCAGAATCGTTTGCCGGGTATGCGGTCTACTGGCATGATGGGACCTTTACTCGGGTGTATGACAACGCGCCCCTGCACGAAGAATCTCGTGACCTCACCACCTCGGCACGCCATTAGGTCCAGCATCGTCTGACTACACTACCGGCAAGGTCACGCAAATGCAGTCCAAGTATACCAAGGTGATACCGCATTTATCCTGCAGGCACGAGATCCCAGACCACACGTCTCCATTCATTGACGATGTACCTGTCAAATCGTGCGGACTCGGTACCAGAGATCTGACGGATCTTATGAACGATTCCTGGAACCCGGGGATACGACGATTCATATGGGAAACATTGCATTGTCGTCAACCGAATATTACAGAGACTGGAAAACGTAGGTGCAACGTC